GATAGCTTTACTTTCTGTAAGTGGGCAGGTCCAAGCTATTTGGATTGTGACGTACGGGACATTCAGAGACTTTAAACAAGAAATAACAATGGATGAAATTATTTATATGGCTATCTTTTGGTATGAGTCTGTGGCTATTATGGGCTAGTTCATTTGTGGAAAGTTTTAGTTCTGACCAATTCATAAATTAATTTTTAATGTAATTAATGTGCTGCGTGACGTACGGGACCAGAGAATTTCTGACTTTTTCAAAAATAAGTTCGTCGTAAAAATTCTCTGAATTTATTAAGTTATGAGATTTATGGTAATGATATCTTAATTCATTATGGAATCAAGCATTAATCACAACTACAACCATATTTTTCTGACCTTCCGTTGTTTTGTAATATACCAAAACATAAATGTGTGTATGTGACGTACGGGACAACTTTTCCCTATGGAAAAATGCATTGAAATGAAGAATTATCGTCAAAATTTGTTAAATATGAACAATTTTAACTTAAATCAGTGACAATTAGAGTGTTTTAGAACCCAATTAGATCCTCTGACCATCACTCAATATCCTCTGTGTTAATTTATGAGGTAAATCAATACAAATATTACTTTAATAAAGAAAACAAGTTAAATTACATTCATACACACACACTATACCATTTTTATTCCATTTACCCATCTATCATGTGCAGTCATGCTTCTTTTCTCATTTCTTTCATCCATTCCATTCAACAGTGCTACATGTACATGTAAATGTTTTAAAATAATAATTAATGAAGAAGATGAACTAAGTCTTCTTCTTCTCTTTCTTCTCAGTCATTTTTTTTTACTGGCTTCTTCGCTTTCTTGGGGGCTGCCTTGACTTGAAAACTTTTATTAAAACTTGTTTGAAACACAGGGGCACACTCGGCACATCATATTTTGTGAACAAAGATACAGTACATTACAAAATACAAATATAAAATCTTTTCTTCATAGCTTGTTTGAATTACTTGATAGTAATATCATAGAATTTTGAAGGAATTCAAAGATAATGCTGAACATATTGTCTTATTTTAATCTTTTTATCACAGATTTACATGTACATGTATATGTTGCTGTCATATATTCAAGAATTTCAATGTACCGGTACATTAATGTACATGTTTGTGAAAGATGGATACAAAAATATAAATCTTGAATGTATTTTGTATTGATTAAAGACATCTTATTAACACCACCAGATATAATAAATTAAAACCCTAAAGGTTTGTGTGACCTTTTCCACAATTCAAAAGATTAAAGCGTAATTCAACAAAAATGCATGGATGTAAAAGTGATGAAAATCTTAAGTGGGTGAGAGTGAGAGAGGCTATCCTTCCTTAAAAGTTATGATTTAGTTTTTAGGAGATCAAAATTCCTGAGCTGGCTCCATAACATGTACATGTACTATTATGATTTACATATTTAGCATTCTGCCAATGTTGGGGACATCAACTGGCAAAATACCAAAGTTGATAATACCAGGGGTCTGGCTTGAAGACTAATTACATCAATAAATATTCATAATTGAATGACACATGCCTTTAAGACTAAAACAGTAACAACAACAACAACAGTACAAGTAAATTCCTAGAAGGGACCCAGTTGGAATGTTCATATCCGTCTGTATACAACAAGTTTCCTAACACATATATATTCTCCTTTTGGTCATTTCCTTTTTTCACATCTTGCATTGGTTTTATATGGGGTTGTCCCGTACGTCACACACTTGTCCCGTACGTCACATTTCTTAATTTGATTATGTAATCAACACAGAATTTTCGTTATTTTTGTTAAACCTATTTTTTGTTAGGTATTCATCTAAATTAGAACTTCCTAGAATATCTTTTAAAAAAAAAATTATTTTCATAATTAAAATTAAACAAATTAATGTCAAATTGTGACGTACGGGACATCACACTTTGGAACCTACCTCATTTGCATAATTAATTAATTTTTAAAGTTTTTATATTTTTTTCCTATTTTCTAGTATGATGGTCTACATGTCCTAAAATATTTAATTTTGAAAAAATAATTCAAATGAGATACAAAAATAAAAATGTAATGTCCCGTACGTCACGCTAATTAACACAAATCAAAGTTTGTGACCTTGGCATTCTTCGTATTTTTATGATTTTTTATTTTTTTTATCAGATTCATAAAATTCATAGTTTCAGCTTTAAAATGATGTATAGTTTGTTAAATATATATAAAGATGAAATTTGACCCCCTGAGGGGACAATAGCTTGGACCTGCCCAAGTACAGTGTACAATGTACATGTACATGTACAGTACATGATCTAAAAGTTTCAATGATATGCAGTTTGCTTCACAAAATTCGATCTCTAGTCAAAATTTCATTAACATTTGTTAGAAATGACCAAAGAAAGTAAACATGAAATACTGTAGGTTCTACAGGTACTACAATGTACACCAGACAGTTATCACATCAATAGCATTTCCCTGCCAACAACGCCAGAAATTGCCCTTTATAGGCAATATTTCATTTTTCTAAACTTGTACATTACATGTGTATTTTTTACCAAGGCAACAAGAGAGAATATATACTGTATGAATCCCACCAACATAAAATGTATGTGTGTAAATGAAAACAGAGTTAAAGATTTGTGGACACAGCATTATTGGCTTTAGAATCATGAACGTGTACTCTGTGCACGTGGCATACAAAAAGGGGAAAATATTGATTGAACGAATATTCACAAACCTCAAACTATTATGGAAGCTCATTTCCTATATACAGTATGTATTAATAAAAATCAACCACATTCTTTAAAGCCCCTCTAAAGTGTTGGGACTTGGAAGCCTGAAAAATTGTTTCATAATGTGCAAGAGGATGTCATTTAAGACACTTTTTTTTCAAGGATTTTCAAAACAAAAGAGTCAAAGTGGAATATTAAAGAAAGAATACAAAATTTAGGTTTTCTGCATAAAACAGAAAACTCAAATTATGTATTCTTTTATTAATATTTGTCTTCAAACTAACATTTTTTGGGGGGAAAACTTTACAGAAGTGTGTCTTAAAATGACATCCTCTTTCACATTATGATACAATTTAAGTGAAATTCGACATCACATTGTTGGCATATTGCCTTACAATTGACAAGGGTTTGCGCACGGAGACTACCGTGTGCTTGCATCTCGCAATGCAGGACCATGCGAGAAGTGGATGCATCACCGGCATCGCGTAAACAACAACCAACCTCCGACATTTGGCATCTAATTGGTGAGTAAGAATTGCCACGGGTTGAGTGTGACAGGTAATCAGTGGTTTATTATGGATGAGACATGACCGACTGACTCCCACGTACATAACTACACCAGTGAAAACATGCCGCACAGGAGCTAAATGTACAGTAGTTTGTACTGTGTAGTTTGTTTAATGGCCCAAATTCACAAAGGAGGTTTAAACTTTACTTAACCCATGGTTTAAATCTTCATTTATATAACCCATGGGTTTTATATTGAGGGTTTAAACCACAGGTTAAATTTAAACCTCCTATGTGAATTTGGGGCAATGTGTCAAAGTGTCTGAACTGCAAGACTATAAAGATATATCATGGTCTTTTGACCTCAATAGGCCCTGTACTGTAGCTGCTCTAATCCACACAGCAAAATTGACAAAGTTAAGGTAGGCCCAAGGCTGTATTGAATTGTATTGAACTGTCCAAACAGAGTCTGTACCACCAGACTACATGTACACTGTACACAGGAGCAGTGAGCAATCTAGCTCTAAACCAACAACAGCTCATGAAAAAAAAATTGATAAAAACTAAATGCATACAAATCACTGAGTTAAAATCTTACTAAAATTTTACCAGGTCCAAGACGAGAGGAGCTCTCGAAAACCAAAAAAGTATTTACCGGTACAGTGTTCTCCGTCCTACACTACAGCAGCTACATTGTATCAGCCTTTTCCTATGAAATATCCTCTGTATAATTTATCAACAATCTTTCTCTGTTTTTTACACATATATAATTTGTACGGGATTCAAGGAACTAATAATGTTGTGGGCAGGTCCCATTTGAATGATATTGATCAATCAGTAGGCCTACCGTATCCTGAATGTGGATAAAGAAATGCCAAAAAAATGAAAGGGAGGAATTTGAAGAAAGAAAAACAATAGGACCCCTTTACCAGAGATCTGTAAGTGCTTTCTAGCTTTCTTGCTGTGAATATTGACACAGGATACGCATAGGTGTTTAATAGTGCTTTTTGGTAAGCCATTAATCCTCATTACCCCATTGGAGAGGATTTAAAGCTGTTGGTCCCCTGGTTGCTAATGTAAGACCCAATATTACAATCCCTTCATTCACTTAATAATACAACACCCTTCAAAGATACTATGTCCCTTTTGCAGCCAACCTCAAATTCTGTAGAACTTTGCAGGAATTATGAATATGTCATGTACAGTATGTCCTATCTGTGAAATTTAAACGTTAGCAGTGTCCTAATATTCAAATTATGCAAGGAAACCTGTTTACTTGCTAGACTTCACTGTCAGACACTATTGTCAGTATTGAGTGACTGACTGGCTTTTTAATCTTCTTTGGTAATAACATACATAACATGAGCTGTAAAAGATGTGTCTACATCAATAACCCACTTCTTGTAATGGCCAAAATCAAACTGATTGAATCTTTGCGCAGCATAAATGTACGACCATGCGGTACAATAGTCTGAAAATCAAGACTATTACTTATTGGCTCTATAGCTCCTAAGTCGATATGACAACTAATAGTTGTTATTTTCCCACTTAAAGACATTTTGCAGCCCCATTGTTTTAAGGGGAGTTCTAAAGTAGTATTATCTTTCAAATGCCTTTGGAATTTAACCTTTTCATATTTTTTGGCCTGCAAAAGGGGTTAGTACATGTACATGTACCTTTAAAACAGTACTTTCTAATTAACAATCATGCACAAGCTTTCTTAGCAGTCAGGTAAAACAAACAAACAAATGAACTTACTCTTTTAATGTTTGTAAGGGTCGCCTCCCTGCTACACTGGAGTGGTATGTAGATACCATTGGGTAGCAGGCACATCAGCTCCACATTGGCATGGAGGTCTCCTTCACTCCACTGGTCAAGGTTTGGGACTGACCCTGGAGCCATTCTGACCGACTCCACCCGCCGCCGCCGGGATCCTTCTTCACAGACAAGCACAATCTGAAGTGAACTAGCGCCAACAGACTTCTGAAAGTTAAGAAAAACAGATTAAACATTGTAAGATCAATAGTCGGTCTGAGTCATCAATTGGTTAACTGATCTACATTTAAAATAATAATAATAATAATAGCTAGTTCTTACATGTACTGTATATAGCGCTCTCGGGAAGGTTACAATTGGGCTATTGGCTATTGGCTATTGGCTATTGGGCTATTGCCCTCGGCACGCCTCGGGGCAATGGCACAATTCTAACCTTCCCTTGAGCGTATAAAAACAACTATTTCTCTCAAAGCAGTCATTAATACTATATTATTACCCCGGTCATAGGATTCAGGCTTACCCGCACACAATGTATGCATATTCTCCACTCCCTGGGGAGCATTCCAGCCAGGCGTCTTTTTTACAAGCGGGTACCCATTTACACCTGGGTGGAGAGTGGCAAATGTAGATCAATGTCTTGTCAAAGTACATTAGTGCTGCGGCGGGACTTGAACCAAATCAAAAGGGCTCTTGACATACATGTACATGCTTATAAATAGAAAAAGTCAGAACTACTTGGGTGTAACTTTTCTTATATTTCACTTTACTGTATCTGTAGCTTACAAAATGTTGTAATTTTCTAATTCAGCTAACACTGAATATTCAATATTTTAATGAACCTTCTCTTTAGAAGTTCTCTGTAAACATGACATGCAGCTCAAGGCTGACTTGGTCCGTTTTACAAAGTACATGTACATGTAATCAGGTATTTACTGCATGATACAAACATCAAAATACAAAAGCAATATAACAAAGGTCACATCTCACATTCATTATATAGGATTTATATTATAAAGCTTACCGGTATATAATATTGCTGTGAGATGTTTTATCAAAGATGTGGATAAGTACAGTATAGTTATCAAAATAATTTACCGGTAGGCAATAAAATTAAATATTCAAGGATAAATCTGTTTAAATACATACACTGTAATATGAGGTACAGTGTAGAACTGGAAAGTAGAAACTATTTTTAGATCAGCTAAAGTTGAAGTTGAACCTAGCCATACATTATCTATAGCAGGATATCACCCTTACAGAAGTGTCCAAGCCTACGGTACTACTGTATTGTCAACTTTGTTACAATGTACACAACATTCTGCTATTGAACTCACTCACATGACCAAATGTACAAGGTTATCATTATAAATGATGTGACACAAACAACAATTGTATGTTGTACGAAGTGTACTTTCATGCAAGTTCAAGTGATTGCACATTCACAAATTTTTAATTGTGAGCATTTTTAACTTTCAAGAGAGCGAGATCAATAGTTACTTGTACCTGTGCATGTACTATGGTCTCTCACTTTTGATTTTTAGATAATATTTTTTCCTTCAATAACAAATTATCCAAAAATGTAAATGCTTTAGATTTGTGAGCATGATGTATGTCCCTTGAAAGACCAATGCCAGTAAATGGTGAGACTTTGGCATTAATGGCCTGCCATAGTTAAGTCCAACTTAAAGTAGATCTTAGTCTTTGTGAAACACCCTCTGGACATTTATTACTTTCTGAAGCCATTTGGATTTTTTTCTCTCTCAACCCCATGACCATACCATCTCAATCCACGAATACTTAACCCCTGCATCTGTGAGATTTTTGGCAACCCTACAAAATTTGGAGATCTTCATTCTCCATAAAAAAGAGATGTCTTGCACATCCATTTAACCAGTCACACGTCAGCCTGTTCAACACAATGAACACTTGATGAGTTAATTTTCATCAAATTCACGATAGAATCATATTTAAAATATTTCATCAGTGATCAATCTGTGTGAAAGTGGAGTTTATCCTCTTCTAAATGCTGTCAAATATACTAGCATATACAGAGACGCCAAGTTCAAAGATCAGCTAGATCTACATGTATGCGTGATATTTTCATGACTCGGCGGGCGAGGGTATAGCGATGGCGTACGTTTTAAAATCGCGCGCATGCGCGCTTCATACCTAAGAGCGTTTTTTTAGACCCTCGAATACATGACATCACGCATAATGCGGGACGCTTGGTAGCTCTGCATATACCGTATGTTATCTGTGCAGGGGTGTTAACTCAAGTACTTTATTAACACAATCGTAAACTAATCATGTGTACAGGTGTAGCTAAATTTAAATGGAAAATTTATAATAATTTCTGCAATTTAAACCTCTCGGTCTTTAGTCTTTGTCTCAGTGAATGAACTTGTAGTTAGAGGTCACTGTGAACAACATTTATCATGGTTTACACAGCTCAAACCTACAGTCTACACACGAACAGCCAATGGCGGATAGCTCACACCGGCTGCAGCTGCATGCAGGCTGCACACGAGACTGCACATATTTTGTCTATAATTTATTGTTTTGTATGAAATTATAGTTTGAACCTGCAGATTTCTTAAGTAATGCACACATGTTTAAAACGTCAAAATATACAAGACAACATGAAGTACAGTCAATAATACACAGGCTGGTCATAGCCTCATACTTGTCATACATGCTGTACAGTGAACTGTTGCAAATTATTGATTTGTTTACAACACTGTCTGGCAGAATGAAAAACAGATTGTAGATCTATCAGATAGATCTGCAAGAAAAATATCGCATAAAACTAAAAGATCGTCTATGGACTTCTAAATTATTACTCACCTATATTTTCTCCAACATCTAAAGCTCTTTGTCAGCCAGAATGAAGTGTCACCTTTGCCTTTTTGTTAACATTTCTATCTCTACCGCCGACTTGTTTACGAGTTTACAGCAATCTGTGAATGCTAGCGGTGTCCGATGATCCGCAAATTGAACCCAACGAGGAAGTGAATTTGGACAAACAACATGCTCCGATCGATAGTCTCTTTTCATGAGATCACCGAGGAGGCTGCACGTTTTGTTCGCCCGTATTGTGTGAGAGCTAGTTTTCCTACTTTGCGCAAAATTTCTGAAAGTAGCTGGTTTATACGTCTAGGTTAAAAGAACACCCACCACCGTAAAACCCCAAATGGTTGTGTAGTGGATCAGAAGGATGCATGCTATATCACGATGAGTCATTTGCTGCAGGGAAAACATTTGATTATTAAACTCGAGTTGATATTTACTTTCTTCTCATATTGTATAGAATATTTATGCGTTTAACGTTATCAAGTGCAATAAAAAATAAAATGATGACAAATCTATAGGGCAGAGCGAGCAGTCAATCGGCTGTTTTGTTGTCTGCATAAATGTTCGGCGATGGTGGTCGTGGTACCTGTGGCGGTGCTGGTGGTAGTGGTCGGATGGTAGTGGTGGGGGTGGGGGAGGGGGAATGGTAGTGATGGTGGTGGTGGTCGGGGTAGTGGTAGTAGTGGTGGTAGTGGATATATGGTGGTGGTGGTGGTGGATGTGATGGTGGCGGTGGTGGTTGTGGGACCGTGGGGGTGATGGTACGTGGTAGTGGTGTGATGGTGATTGGGATGGAAGTGGTGGTGGTGGTGGTGGTGGTAGGGGTGGTGGTGGTGGTGGTGGTGGTGGTGGTGGTGGTGGTGAGACCGTGGGGTAGTGGTGGTGGTGGTAGTGGTGATGGTGGTAGTGGTGGTGCCGGTGATGGTAGTGGTGGTGGTGGTGGTGGTGGTGGTGGTGGAGGTGGTGGTGTTGATGATGGGAGCCTGTTCCAAGCTGGAACAAAAAGCTCATAAAGTAAAGGTCAAGTTCGATTCAAGGTTTTATTTCGAAAAACATAAGAGTACAATGATGCACATGCTGCAGCTAAAAAGCTGAAATGTATGTGTTTACAATGATCGAGAATACAATATAAATAGAAAAGAATATCCATTCACAAAACGTATCTACATTATCGCACAATGAAACCATGTCAGATAAAAGACTGGTCTAAAAAGACAACTGTTCAAATACACAAATAAAAAAAGATTGGGTTTGAAAAGAAAAACTTAAAACAACACCCCAACCCTTCAATACTGGAATCCGAGACCATTGTCTGAAGTGCATTGACGACTTAAATGTCAGAATTACCCAATGGAGAGAGAGAGAGAGAGAGAGAGAGAGAGAGAGAGAGAGAGAGAGAGAGAGAGAGAGAGAGAGAGAGATATTATTAAAGCGATTGGTTTTACAAATAAATTGAGAATATTTCTATACATTTCGTAAATTAAAATTAACAATTCTTAGACTTGGTAGCCATAAAGAACACAATATTCATGCTTTTCTAAGTTAATGGCGAAATCGAAACAAAGTTTATCCCTACGTTCTTCCAACGTTAACAAATTGCACAATTCTTATAGAGCAAGATTATGTTTCATAATTAAGTCCCAATATAATTCCACATGCCCATTTTTGTATTCGTTCAACATTATCTGTTTTTTTACGCATTAGATTGGAATTAAAAAAGTGGTGCACAATACTCTAAAATTGGTCTTATGTATCCAGTATAAACAATAACGAGATCACTATTAAAACATTTCAGGTACGTAACATGACTTTGTACAACTTTCTGTTGCACTTTTTTTAACATTTCTTTTACTTGAGTATCCCATTTTAAATCACAATGAATATAAACTCCAAGAACTTTGATCACATTTTCTTCATTTAAAAATGTCTCATCAATATACAACAGTTGGTGAGTTTGATTTTTCATAAAAGAGACCGTCATAGTAATGCATTTAGTTGGGCCCCTTAAAATAATTTCCCAAGATTGTGCTCCCATCTGTGTCCCATCTCTGATTAGTGATGAGTGTCAGTGTCACACAGACAATCTTTTGCTCAGAAACCGATATTGAAATCAACATCACCAACAACAGCAAATGAAGGAAAGCCTGGGCGTATCCAGTATATTTTAAGTGGAGGTGTTTTTTTGCCCAATTCGTGAGAAAATTTTACCTTAACATACACCCCCCCCTTCCGTCCCCATTGAGCAAAAAAAATAATTATATTTTTACTTTTGGGGGCCATGGGTGGAGGGGGGGGGGGGGGTAATGCAATAGATAAACACAGATAAAGGATTCTTTAAAATTGTAAAACATCTCCCTTTTGCCAAGGATGGGGGTGGTGTGTGAACAATTAAAATACCCCCTGTTTGCACAAAAAGGGGGTGTACACCCCCCTTGATACGCCAATGAAGGACAGTAGGTAATAACTTTTACAAATGCCGGGTCCTGAATTCACGGGGGGGGGGGGGACACAAGTGTGAATATCTCCGAAGGAGAGAGAAAAATACATTTCACAGGAATGTCTTTGCAGGGTCTAGAATGGCCGCTGGTGGAACAAATGGGTCCATTAAAAAAAAAACTTTACATGACTTCTCGGGTAATAGGCCATTTTCGTAATGTAACCAAATTTAATGCATAGGTCTTTGTGAAGTGCCTCAATACAAATTATTTCATTCACCTGATAGGAATAATAGTATTTCAATAGTCAGAATGCAACTGCATATATTAAGTGTTACTATTGGTAGGTCAAGCCATAATGTTTGTCCAACCTGGCAACCGACTAATGTATGCAGTTAGGATTCTGTCTATTGAAATACTATTATTCTTACATAAGGTGAATGAAATAGTTTGTATTGAAGCATTTCACAAAGACCTGTGCATTAAATTTGGTTACATTACGAAAATGGCCTATTGATCGACCTTCGTGTAAACTATCGAACGTCTTCTTCTTTCTCTTTTACTACTACTACTACTACTACTACTACTACTAATACTAATACTACTCCTTCTTCTTCTTCTCTTTTCTCCTCCTCCTAAAAAAAATGAAACTATGCAATAATAAAACACGGCGTGCCATTGCCCCCACCCCTCACCACCCCCCCCCCCCCCACCCCCAAATGGAAAAGGCAGAAATTTGTTTCAAATGGGGATTTTTAGAATCCATATTATCGCAGAGGGCGCAATAACATTGTACATTTTCCGTGTCAACAAAACTGGCTTAGGTCAGGATCGAGAAAGTGACAGGTATTGATTGTTGAGAAATAATTCAAAATAAACGGAAATTAGCCTCATTCAGCAGCGGGAAAACGGCCCATCATGGCGCTGGACATGCCTAGTTATATGACATATATGACATTATATGTCATATCAGCCAGTATTGTGACGACGAACACCCGATCAGCGACGCATTGGAAGCTGCAGGAGAGTTCGACTGGCGAGTTCCTTGTACGGCCTGTCAGCGAGGAAGACACGGGGAAACTCTCCACTGAGGATCCGGTGATGAGTATACTGGCACAGAAATATGGATTTGGAGAACCCTTACTGAATACGAATGATCAAGAATGTTTATCTTGCGGAAAAACAGAAGATGGAGGAATTTTAGAGTACGTTCATGTTGTGTAGAAATTAATTAACTAGAATTGTAGTTGTACTTCTAGTCAGAAAGAGCAAATGCATGGTGAAACTGAATTCTGAAACATGTCAAATTCAAGTTTAGATCTAACTTTAAATTGTCACAAAATTGGGACTAAATATCATGTCGATATACTAATTGGAAAAGTCAAAATTGTGATTTGTGAATGCAGAAGTGATCCTCAAAAGATGTCTGTATTTTGATTGGGTGACTCTCTGTGTCATGGCAATTGATGTTGATGAATTTGAACAAATTATCATGTGGTTATTTTTATCTGAACCAAAACTTGTCTAGATCTAGACTAGATGAACATGTTTGTTTCGGAATCTTCCATTTGCTCACCTTTTGATTGTATAATATAAAGTAGAATAAAAAATTTATTATTAATTCTGCCATTGTGAATGGTAGAAATAGGTAGACGTCATCTGCATCTGAGCTGAGGGATTCGTCCTTTTCTTCGGTGACAATTGCTTCACGCCTATTTTGCAAAAGTATAGGATTTGGATTGCATTTGGGGTTTCCCAAAATCCAAATGGTGCCCCCCCCCCTCTCATAATCTAGGTCTTTACAGTACACTCCCCCCCCCCCCCCCATTCTATTTTTTAACATAGGGCTAATGCATGTATCACTCCGGACCCCCTTCCAAGGAGCCCTGGGATAGGATTCGGGTTGGGTGTACAGGGTGTGGTCCAGGGTTGATGTTCAGAATACGGTTAGTGTAGGAAAAAGCTGTGGAGCAAATGTCGCAGTACTCGAGGAGCATGCCTTGTACAACCGTCGTTGTAACTTAAAACAACTTCCAGACCTTGTCATTAGGTTTTACAGCTGGTACATGTTTGGACCAATCTTCATTCTGTAACTGATTTGATTTTTTTCCCCCCTCCTTTTCTTTTTCCAGAGTTAACATAATTCAACTTTTATAAATGTAATGCTTCCTGGGAGAAATTTCAATTTTTTAAAACATATTTGTGGCTTACACCCAGTAAATAAGATTGATTGATCGATCTTTATTTAAAAACTAGTCAGAAAAAATCTTGGAACCAAGATTCAATTTGTAATTATTCTGGAGCATCATTATATTCAGAAGTTTGACAAGACAAGAAATATGGCCCTGTCAAATATTAGCTTTAGTTTTATTTATCCTGCTGGGGTGTATCGCCACGAAGAAACCAACATGACAGTAATAACTGTCTGCGATCTACATACAGAGATGTAATGGAACTGACAATTGCAATCTTATGAGACATCTGTATTTAATATCAATACTAACACCCCCCAAAAAACCTTAACCACTCTCCATTAGATTTATTCTAACTTGCACAATAACACACAGGTTTTGAGGCTAAACCTGTTCGATGTAAACAGATTATGTGAGAATATAACTACAAATAAATACAAATGATGAATTGAAATATGTTTAATTTGTATGAAACAATTTTGTTGTTTATGCTCTCCAAGAATTCCTCAATTTTGCTTAGCATAATAAAAGAAAATGCTCAAAAGAATAATTTACATGAGTGATGGTTGAAAATGACATTAAATAGTGTACCTTATATAGAAACGAAAGAAAAATACATTACAAATCAAAATAGTCCGTAATAAGTTAAGAACATCATAAGTTAAGAACGATTATTTTTTTGTTTGTTAAATGAATAGTTGAATACCCTGTTAAATTGAATTGAATTGAATATGTTCATGGAGTAAATTTGTTGACCTTTTTTTCCCCTTTAATTTATTTATTTCATTTCATTCAATTCTTTCATCTTGAGATGTTCAAAATTTGAGATCTTCATGTGTCAAACTGTTTGAAGAGCACTATCTCTCAAACCTCTAACCACTTCTCTCTTGTTTTCTCTTCCTTGTATGCAGGCTTAGCAACCCATCAGACCCATTGCATTGTGGGAAGCATGCCAATAAGACAGACTACGACAGTTTAAATGGTATAGCAGACCGATGGAAACATCCCAGCATACCAGAGCCAGAAGTAGCCCTCATATTTAAGAGAAGCGATTCGGATCAGGTCGATATGTCGCTGCTGGAAAACTCGCTCAGAGAAACTATAAAACTTGTGAGTATACATCCAACATCATGGTTCTATCGTATAAAGAATTGGAATTAGAATAAGGTAATTGCATTCCCCCAATTAAACTCATAATTGCCTACCTGCAAGATCTCATGCAGTTTTGATTTAAATTATGATTTAACTCAAGTTCAGTTGATCTATGTAGATCAGTTGCAACTCTTTATAAGACAGGGCCCTCTGATGGATATTAATAGGCCATTTTCACACTGTAAACAAAGTTAATGCTACGTCGTTATAAAGTGCCTTGATTCAAATCAGTTCATGCATATATTACAAATAATTGTACCTCTGTAGGAAGAACGCGAATTGCATACAGTGTACGTTAATTGTTGGTAGGTAGTCTGACAAATATTTTGGCTGTCTCTACCTAATGAAACAAGGTATACTGCATGCAACTTGCATTCTGAGTTTTCTGACTATTGAAATACAGTTATTTATAACAGGTTAACAAAATAGTTCATAACTAGGCATCTCACAAAGAAGTAAGCATTAAATTATATCATTCTACAAAAAAGTGCAATTGGGCAGTGTTGTTTTTATTTGTGGGACACAACTGACCTGTCCCCCCCCCCCCCCCCTCCCTTCCTCACTCTCATTTTGAAAACACATTCATTGTACCATGAGTTCACAGCCACAATATTTTACATGAAAAGCACCTAAAGAACATGCCTGTAACCTTTGTAGCTGCTATTGGGTGTATGGTACCTGTTACTTAGTACTTTGTACTTTCACACTTTGGGATTCAAAGGTTTTCTTTAAGAGTGTGCAGAAATTTGGGTCTGACTATTGTGACTCAGATAATCAACCTGTTAAATGATGCCTGTGGCAATAAGCCCTGACTTTTGGTAGGTCTTAAAACATATCTCAATTGTGTTTATAATTTACACACATCATTTCTTAAATTTATTATCTGTTGGGTTGAAATGAGTACTGGTCCTACCTTTTTCTTACCCTTTATATATCTGTGCATTCTGTCTGCAAACAGTTCACTAGAATCTTGGAATCAGATACAGATTACATAACACATACACATACATATAGGCTAAAGTAAGTACTAGTAGTTCCCTAAATTAATTTCACTTCCAACATTGCATCTGCATGTGTTCCAGAAGGTCTCTTATTTTTCATTTTCTTTTTGCTTGTCATCTGCAGAATCCCTCATCTTTAGCCGTCTTAAATCAAGTAGGTAATTTCTGGAGGATCAAAGGCAACACGTATCTGGCTATCGAGTGTTTCCGCAAAGCCATCTCCCTTTCACCGACCAACCCTGACATCCTGCTCAACCTAGCGAGGGTGCTCTTCAATCTCCAGTACCACTCCGACGCTCTCTTTCTAACGCAGAAATCTCTCCAGTTCAAGACGCCCGACCAAAACTCGTGGCTCCAACACTTTACGCTGGGTGAGATATTCAAGGTGCTTGGTAACTACGCAGAGGCAGGGGTTCACTTTAGATATGCCCTGGATCTGAACCCCACGTTCCAGCCTGCAGAAGCGCATCTACGGGAAATAGAACAGCCTACGCAGACAAACGCCACTATTTATACCATCCTCATCATCGGGTTTTTAATTGTAGCGGTCTGTGTTGCGCTTTACGTTGTCACAGAGGTTTACATGAATGAAAATCCGTTGAGAAGGTCTCCTAAAATGGCAGTTCCGTGGGACAGGTCAAAGTTCCCTATGTTGAAGAGCAAGCGAGGAGGGTCGTATTAGCTCACAGGGATACGCTTTCGACTCCCTCTATACATGGTACTAATGGAGGAGAGGAAGGCTCTCCAGGTAGAGTTGTTTTTCATTTTAATGTGACAAGTTATCAGCCTAGAATTGAAAGAAGAAAAGGTATAACATTAACAGATTTGCTGACCTCGAAAAAGACTGTAACAGTTTTCTACATTTTCATACATGATAAGTGATTATTTCTGTTAAACCCATATTCTTTCAAACGCAAGAGGAAAAAAGATGCTATCCGTTATCTCCCATACATTGTTCCAAATTGGAATCAAGTTTTTCACTGTGAAAGCCACATAGTAGACGGGGTCCATGAATATTGCATCATAATTCGCTAACACCAGATCAGGTTGAATTACTAATTTGTGTGTGCATAGGCTTCTGAAGCAGTGCCCTGCACCCTAGCTTACGGCTATAAGGAATTCTCATCATGATACCAAATTTCCCTCAACCTCGATATATGGAGGCAAGTTGGAATAATATCTGGTGGGGGCAACAGGTTCGATACTTGAGAGAACTGTGCACACGCACACAGACACATTAATTGGTAATTCAACCTTATCTGGTGTCGGTGCATTATGATGTAATACACATGGACACTTACTACTATGTGGCTCAAAAAATATGATAGAAAGAAATAGATACAGGGGTAGGCTCCATTGACTTAGTCATGACACCAGATTGAAGAGAACCATACATTGTGCAGTTGTTTGTGTTACTCCACAGTAAAGAACAGGGTCAAAGTGTAACAAGTCATGTCCAGGGACCCGTTTCACAAAGCCTTTTTGTTCAATGACAAATGATAAAATTCAGCGACAAATCTGCTGATAACCAATCAGAAGCAAGGAATTCAGTAGCTTATAACAAAAACTGTCATTTGTCACTGATGACAAGTTTTGTGAAATGGGGCCATGATGGCTCCTAATTTCAGATTTATCAAGAAGGGTTTTGCTTAGCATCTGGGGAACAGACAGCATTAGGAATTTTAAATCCACTAAGAAATTTGGTTAAATAAAATCACTTTATGTTAGAAGTAGAAGACATGTTTTGAAATATATTATTTCCTTACAACATTGTCCCTCAAACCTTATCTGATAGAATTCAAGGAATTCGAATGGGTTAATCAAAATTTGTCCCAGGCATAGTTTTGCCTGTTTAGCTTTACAACACAAAAATAATTAAGTAATAGGAATATTCATGAACTTTCTGATAACCCTAACTTGGTTGGTAGTAGTTTGCAGACACAAACCCTTGTCAGTTACTGTGCGTAACGGTGTCTGCTCTGTGAGACTAGGCTGACTGCATACTGCACACTGTGCCATGTACTGAAGCTGCTCTGGACATGGCCAGAGATAGGCTCTGCTCAAGGCTTTAAGAACTGTGGTACATTGTCATGTTAGAGTCTCTGCCTGCATATTAGGTTGGTGGCCCTGTAAAAATGATTCCAGTAGAACTGGATGACTGTTTGTGTTGGGTTATGCCTTAAAATCGAACTACATACATAGAATTGTAAACCCTAAAGCAATTTGAATGTTAATCATGAAGTGTAATTGACTGGTATGCAGAATAATCAGACCCAGTAATATGGGGGGGGGGGGGGTGTCTAGAGATCCATTAGCATAGCGTACAAAAGGCAGGATATTTTTACCAACATTGCTACCACTGCTAAATGTATTTTCAATTGCGCCATCCTTCGGTGAGGGCATACATTGAGCAATTCCTGATTCCTGTACCCAAGCATAATCACACGCATGTCATCAGTTGGTGATGCATTGTGGAACATGGCTGTCAACACATTGGGACATTGTGAGCAGCAGATGGCAGTATGTTTATGAATCTGAAGTAGTGTCGGTACAATTCCCTGCCTTTAAGAGAGATGGTTATGACACTTGTAAAGACGCGTACACGACACAACTTCCGCTGTCAAGACTATTTCTCATCAATTAGCTGTATACTTTAGGTTAAAATTCATTTTGAAAGAAAATACATGACTGACCAACACCCTAGGCAACATAAAGTGTAAAGAATGAATAATTGCTGCATTTTTTTTATAACACAGATTCCTTCTCTATGTGAGATTGATACATGTGATGTGCTGTTACTTAAATCACCTTTTTTTTTCTCTTTTTCATCTCTGGTAGCAAAATTTGGAGTGGGGAGTTGTGGTTTTAGTCTCGGTAGGTTCTAATATTGTCTTCTTCACTTAGGGTATTTTACTGTTCTACAAACTGAAATATTTCTTGACTCATCTGCTATGTTTGAAGTTAGAAAAACATGTTGGATTTTAGATCAATGAATGTAAGGATTACAGAGATGATAAAATGTCTTTTTTATTGTGTAAACTCCTTCTCGGGGGGGGGGGGGGGGAGGCAAATTCCTACTTGTATTTGAACTTTGAACAATTCGTCCTAAGATATAAAAGGGCTTTTGATATATTGTTTTGTATTTTCTTCCCAGCAAAACAAAGCATGTATGGGCACCGTGAATAATAACAGGCATAAAGATAAACTCTGTAAGGTTATTTTTTAAATGATAACACTTAAAGGTGTTGGTAGGTGAAAGTAGGAATTACAAAGAAACACAATGATAGTTTGAAGAGAAGATATAGAAACCATTAAATCAAATCAAATCAACTTAAATCCAATTAAAGTTGCTCATACGTGGGTATATGGAGGGTAGCACACTGATGTACGCACTGGAGGCGGGAGCGTAATTCCCGTTGGCTCAGTTTTATATAGTAATCGCTAAATTGCCTACTTCACGAAGGACTATATACCCATGCATGAACATCTTTTAAGTATATGAAGCTGGCTGCGCATGCCTTGTCGTTACCATCGTGCAATTCTAGAACATTCATGAATACACAGGATAGACCAAATACAATCCAAGGTCAGTGAAGCAACTTGTTTGCTAGATGGTGCGATGGCCCAACAAAAGGTTTAATTTTTTTGAAAAACAGTAAATGGAACACAAGATGGAGTCATTTTGCATGCCAATGAGGGCTGCTCAAAACGTTGGTTGACTCTTTAGGCCCATCTTCATCAGCTCAAGTTTGCCAAATAACCTGCTATTTTCAGACTCAGGATATTTTCTCATAGCTGGAAATTGCATCTTCACCAGACCAACTGTATGCTCATCACAAACTAGCTCGGACGAGCGCAAATTAGCCCGCTATTTCTCAAATAGCGGGATATATTGGAAACGAGACCAACATTTCTGATTTCCGCTGATGAAGATGCAAATTAACTGGATAATTTGGGATCGGGATAATTAAAATAGCTGGTTATTTGGCAAACTCAAGCTGATGAAAACAGGCCTTTTGTGTCTGGCCTTTTTTGCTCTCTACTGTTGCAGGATACCTTTTGAAATTTCAATTAATTGAATTACTAAGTAATTGGTACAAGGGATTGATGCCTTGTGTGCAGCCAGCATTGTGAAGTATTACTATACGCCTCTCCCCTTCTCTCTCATTCATTCCAAAATAACAGTTATTTTAAACAAGTCAAGTTTTTCCGCTATCATGGGGACTACACATAAAAGCATGTTGTATTAAATGATATTCATTTCAACAGTCCAAACTGTATTTAGAGAAATAGTTGACATGACAGCTACTTTTCTCAATTATTTCCAAGTCATTGTGAAGCACTGTAATGCTACTTATTCTGATTCTGATTTCTATTTGCGCAAAATCTTGGCAAAGTGGATATCACTTACCAGTTTTTTAATAAGTTTTCCTATATATTATGTCCTTTAAGTGAGACATTAGCAAGTACTGTACTGGATAACTTTAATTTATGAGTTTCATTTTCTTAATCTGTAAATTTTATCCTGATCCTGTGATGATAAAGTTTCATACTTTGCAAGTGTAACATTTAAATATCCAAAGAGGATATTAGTAGGGTCAGTGTATTTCCAACAACTTTTTATGATCTTCTTTTTTTCAGGCTGCAATAAACCATTTTCATACTGTGAAAAATTAAGCGTGGTATATTTTGCTCTTTGTAGTCATGTTTATGTGTAATCTGTACATAATAATTTATTGGAGTGATAGAACCTATAATAGGAGTGGTGGTGGTGGTAGTAGTAGTAGTACATGTAGTGGTGGTGGTGGTGGTGGTGGTAGTGGTGGTAATAGTAGTAGTAGTAGTAGTAGTAGTAGTAGTAGTAGTAGTAGTGGTGTAGTAGTAGTGGTAGTAGTAGTAGTAGTAGTAGTAGTAGTAGTAGTAGTAGTAGTAGTAGTAGTAGTGCAAATTTGTTTGCATTATTCTCCACCCATGCAACCCTGCCCCTCCCCCCCCCCCCTCCCTAAATTTAGGGCACATTTTCTATATTCTGTACGACCCATTTGTCTTTCCATTATAGTACACTGCACAATTGTGAGCTGACTCTGAGCAGTATAGTCAATCGAAGGAAATGTAGCAATTAGGCTGATTGTGTTTAGGATGCGAGTTATTAAACCTATACACTGTAAGAGTTGGCTTACAGGTTTGCACAAAGAATGGATACCATACTAAATACTATGATCATTAGTGATCATGCATTAATTTCTAGCCATTGACTTTCATGTAAATAAATAATGGGTTTGCTAGCATGCACATGCACTATGGATTAGATTCAAAACAAATTAGCGTGTACCAATACCGTACAATGCAATTACATTAATTAGCAATCAACAGAAAACCGACTCGCTCTGCCATTTATAGATGGAGGTTTCAAATGGGCAACAAATAACAACATAAAAGTGTATTAGTTGATTTATCATTATTATTAGAAGTAGTAGTAGTAGTAGAAGTAGTAGTAGTAGTATCAATAGCAGTAGTAGTAGTAGTAGTAGTAGTAGCAGTCGCAGTAGCAGTAGCAGCAGTAGTAGTAGTAGTAGTAGTAGTAGTAGTAGTAGTAGTAGTATCAATAGCAGTAGTAGTAGTAGTAGTAGCAGTAGCAGTAGAAGCAGCAGTAGTAGTAGTAGTAGTAGTAGTAGTAGTAGTAGTAGTCAGGCGCGGATCCAGGATTTCTTAGGGGAGGGGGCCCAACTTTTTTTTTTTTTTTACTCCCGAAAATTTGAAAATCGCGCCGGCCGAAATGTCGCTCAGTGGGGGGGGGGGGGGGGGGGGGGGGGGGGGGGGGGGTGGGGGGAGGGGGGTGGGGGGTAGTGAGTACAATTTTTTTTTTTTTTTTTTTTGCTCCCGAAAATTTGAAAATCGCGCCGGGGGGGGGGGGGGGGGGGGTAGTGGGCAAATTTTTTTTTTTGGGGTCCTCGAAAAATTTTCAATTTGCACCCTCCCCCCCCCCCCCCCCTTGAGCGCCAGGGGGGGGGGGGGGCCCAACCCCCTAAAAAGGTAAAAATCACGTGAATTTACATGATTTTTTTTCTCAAGTGGGGGGGGGGGGCCAGGCCCCCCCCTGGATCCGCCACTGGTAGTAGTAGTAGTATCAATAGCAGCCGTAGTAGCAGTAGCAGCAGCAGCAGCAGTAGTAGTAGTAGTAGTAGTAGTAGTTGTAGTAGTAGTAGTATCAATAGCAGTAGTAGTAGTAGCAGTAGCAGTACCAGTTGCAGTAGTAGTAGTAGTAGTAGTATAGTAGTAGTAGTAGTAGTAGTAGTAGTACTATTATTACTCATTGCGTTTGTTTTTACTTGTTGCTGCTGAGTGGTCCATTATGTTGTTTCTCTGTACACGTGAGAGCCGACTTGTAAGGGATGCACTGCCGATGTAAACGTGTGTATGTGTGTGGAGGGAGGGGTGGAAGCGTGGGGGGGGGGGTGGAAGCGTAAAATGCCTTTGTACCAGATTACATCTGGCATTGTAATTTTGAAAATCTTGTTAACTGGATTCACTTGCAGGGTGGACTCGCCAGCATATTATTATCTACTCTTTTTTTTTTTGGGGGGGGGGGGAGTATTGTTTAATATATATTGATAATTATCATATAGTGACGTAATAAACCTCTTGATGTGCACATTTGGGCCAAGGAAAATAAACTTCCAACTTTAAATTGTAGACATTGGGTAATCATGTCACACTCTTGAATTTGTCTTATGGGAGGGAGGGGGGGGGGGGGGTCCACATCTGGTTTAGAGTTTGGAATGAAGTTCAACAAACTGTTCATTGCAATGATGAAATATCGAGACCTACATTAACAATGTGGTCGATAAGCTTCCGTTGCTATTTTAGCAGTATTTTCCGAGAGAGAAAGAGGGTTGGTTAACTGCCAATGTTTTCAATTCAGTTTAGTATGTCGTTCACATGTTTCAAGCACACAAATCGTACTACTCATAAATTCACGATTTACCATTTTTTTCCCCATTTTTTTTTTTTTGGGGGGGGGGGGGGTGGAGTTGGTCAAAGTAATAATATATGAGAAGAGAGAACCATACAACGAATGGAAAACGTTGTAGAAATGATAAATAATGTACCTGGTAACGAGAGTTATGATGACGGAATAGGCAAGTGAGAGATATTAGAGAGAGGGGAGGGCCGGGTAATTGACAGAGAGATCAACAGAATAAAAAGGAGAAAGAGAGAGAACATAATGAGGCAAACAGGGGAAAGGGACGGATACAGAAGGCGAAGGAAGCAGAGGAAAAGAGAAAGAGATAGAGAAAGATATCAAAGACAGAAAGAAAAAGAGATATAATCTTTAAAAGCCGGGATTAGGAGGCGGGGAGATGGATGGAATGGAGAGGTGGGGGGGGGGGGGGGGGGGGGTGGAGAGAGAGAGAAAGAAAGAAAGAAAGAAATGAGGATTGCTGCAAAGAGGGGAAAGATGCGGAGAGAGCCGGGGAGTGAGAGATCACGGATGACCTTAATTAAAACTGACCACAGTTGACCCCTGGAATCGATACCTGATGACTAAAATGTAAAGTCATTTACTTTGTCAGATTGGTACATGCAGCGACTTTTCCCTGCATACTATCATGTCTATCCAGTCTTCCTGATGGCTAAGTCAACCATGAAACCGTGCTTCATTAAATCCATTTCAAACATGATTTTAGGAATGCTATAGGACAGCTTCCCTCCCTAAACCAGGGGTGGCGGAGCGCCTTTCAGAGTGGGGGTCCAACACAAAAGGGCATTTTCTGTGGAAAAAAGGGGTACCTACAAAGGGAAACCTCAAAGCGAGAATATCCAATGTGTAGATATTGGTACATATCCCTATATTGTTATTGTATTATCAGAGATGATTTTAATGTTTGTTTCTATCTTTACATGGTCCAACATCATACACTCCAGTTGGATGTGAGGGTCTGAATATTTACTTGGGAGTGAGGGCGAAGCGAGCGAGCGAGCAAATATTTTAATATCTGTGAGGTCACAGTGCGAAAAGTTACGTTGTATAATGAGGAAATATCAATTCTGATGGAGATTTACGCATTTCTAATCATGAAGACTGAAAAGATCTTTAATGTTTATGTTTGTGGATAGTAATTCCAAAACAAACTTTGGTTAAAGTTCAGGGTAAAATTATGAGAAAGAACCCCCCCCCCCCCCCCCCCCCCATTATTTAGCCCAACACGTTTATATCCCATGAAGGAAATGTTTTATCTCAAGTCCTTCGGAAATTACAAAGGAAATTGCTTTTCCAGGTTTGGTCGGAAAACTCTCCAAAGCTGTCAAAACTAGCTTCAACTAGAACGAGTTATAATAGTCTCCTTATAACGAAACACGAGCTATTACTTGGAAGATATTTCATTAGAGGACCAAGCTGAGACAAAGAAGCAAACATGCCTGTACCACTTTCAGTATACAGTGTCTTAACCCCGGGTGCCGACTTTCAGAGTAGTAGAACGGAGGACCAGAGGCGAGAAAGGGTGAGCAAACTGAAAACAATTATTACTCCAAACTGTTATGGTCAGTTTTTTGCTGATTGTTGTGTTGCTAACTGTTACTTGTGCAATCCAGAGTATGTAATATCATACTACAGCTGAATATCGATCGGCATCGGCGAAACTATATAGAAAGTTTCTTCAAAAGAGGGGGGGGGGGGTGTCCTCGATTATCTTGTACCAGGGTTATTTAATGAAATGCTAATTACATCAAAGATTGGGGGCAAACAAACAAGAAGACTTCGATTTCACGGGAGATCATAATCGTTGTTCCTGCAATTCGATTAGAGAATCCTTTGGTCCACTTCATTTCACTCTGATTATTCAACTGGCATATATTCGTGATTTTCCAACTCAGTACAATCAGATATGTTTTTGTAAGTGCAGTTCAAGCAAAAGTTGTTCAAATAATTTTCTTAAGTATACAACAAGTGTAACTCCCAAGTTAATTATTTTTATACTTCACACATGGATTAATTTTGATTGTTATTAAAAGTTATAAAAGGGAAACTTATCATTTCTATGACATTCATTATAAAAAAAAAAACTCCCAACCTTGCATTTGTCATGTCAATAAACAAAATATTTAACAAAATAATGTCACATTAATGAGAATGTGATGTATACTCATCTTTCCTAAACTTAATATTTCTGACATTTCCAAACCGTTTATTCGCAGGATAAGAGTCGAGTTCCCCCCCCCCCAAAAAAAAGCCTGAGACCCCTCTGTCAACCACATCTGGCCAGTGTCACATCGATCGGTCTTTATATGGCAAAATCCCGGGAAAAGGGTCCCTGAAATAATATAGACTAGTCACAAAAATGTGAAAATAACTTAGTTCCTGGTATCCAGAAAACGAAAGCTCCAGAGCTGACCGAAACAAAATAAATTCTAGCTCACCCCGGAAAACCTCAAAAGCACAGGCCTAGATACATTTTTCTCAGAGATGTAGGGTCACCCTCCTCTTCCTTGTCCTTCTTTCCCTCAGTGTACTCTTCCTCTATCGTCAACTTCTCCTCTCCTTCTCCACCTCTTCCTCCTCCTTCCTCATTGGATCTGTACTTCTCTGGATCTGTACTTCTCTTTTTGTCCTTCAGGTGCGACATGTCCTAAAGTCACCATTGGTCTTCCTGGCTGTTTGCCTAAATCTCTTCTTCGCTATTTTCGTCCTCCTCATCCTCAGTAATGCTACCAGACAACCGTGTGCAAGGAGAACGGTGAACCCATCAAGGCCACTCCTGCAGCTCCTGTAGACAAGGTACGTCAAAATACACCTCGACTGTCTTCTGTTGTCCAGATGGTGACGCCACACACGTTTTAACGGCTCTAGCTAGGACATATACCCCCTTGGCAATCACGCCATGCTAATTACAAGCGGAACAATAGCCCCCCCCCCCCGGGACATAATTACCCCCGAAAAATCACCCCCGAGGAGAACCATCCCCTATGGACAATTACCCTCCCTCCCCCCTCCCCTGGATAATTACATCCCATAAAATTACCCCCTTGGACAATCACCCCTGTGGAAAAGGACCCCCGTCCTCCCAAGGACAAGACCCCCTGAAAATTACCCCCTTAGGCAATCACCCCCACTCCCCCCCCCCCTCCCAGGACAATTCCCACCGGGGAAGTAAAAAAAATCAAAAAGGGGGGGGGGGGGGTTCACTAAAATGCGCCTGCTCCGAGTATACATATCAAACTTCTTTTTTTTCAAACTTCTCGTGGAGTCCACTTTTAAGAGAATAGGTCTTTATTCCATATCTTTTGAATCCTATATCATAAGCAAGCCTCAAGGTCCTAGCGAGAAAAATATGTCTACGTAAACGTATGTCATCCAAGAAATTATAAACTGGATACACCCTTGTGACCCATTTGTATACATCCCGCGGTAATGTATGTTCCTTACTCTACTACTGTGGACAGCCCATTGAATGTATTTGTACAAAGTACAATCCTAATTTAACCCTTTCTAAAGCTAAATTGAACTCAAGAAACATGAGTTTTCTCAATTTTGCCATAACCTTTTGAAGAAAAACATCCCTTTACAACTTTAATCTACAGTCTTGTTACTAGTCATATATTTTTTCTTATTCATAATAGTCATTCGATCGCCATGGTTCTTACCATCATCATCGCTTTGACGAAAAATGTCACTACGACCACGCCCTCAACGTCCTTAGGGTTGACATGACGGGAGATGGCTACGGGGAAAATGCGACCATTATCTACGACTTCTCTCGGGTGAGTCAGAGGTTCGAATCTGATCTTAGTATTAACGAAAAATGATGAATTAACAATTTGAAATTGAAATGGTTTATTACCAAATTTCATCACAACCAGAGGCCGAATCGAGAAATCTTGTACGGATTAAAAATAGAAATGTACACAATCGTGTCATGAAAATCATAACAAAGAATAGGTGCACACACAATAATACAAGAACATACTAATAAAATAATAGGCACATTACTAGACATTTGGAGGGGCGGTAAACTAATATGTTATATTAACATATCAATAAAGAACTTATAATATAAAATTATTTAAAAAATGTTATCACGAAGATGATAATGATGACGATGATAATAAAAAGAATAATGATGATAATAATAATATAAAACTAGATTTGTAATACTTGTTTGGAACAGGTATAGGTGGGCTGATCCAACAAAAAATTGAGACAAAATAAAGGGTACATTTGAAATAGCTTTTTGTCTCAGCTACAACATATTCGGAGTTCAGCGTAAATGAAGCTAAAACGACGTAGATATTGCTCGCGAAAGACGGGAATGTAGAATCAAGTTTGAGAAAAAGTCATGTCCCATAGAGAATACACGCAAAATGTGAAAAAATTAGCTTGCCTCCTTTAATCGCAAAAATACGCCATGATGCCTTTGTCAAAATGAAAAATTGTGACAACTGGATTTGTAGAGAATTGTCTCAGCTAGAACATATCAAAATTTTAAAGAAAATTAATCAATTTTTAGAAAGATACAATCAATTTTCCAAAAAAATGCTGACGTCATAATAGGCAAATTGAAATTTTGAGTTCGGAGGCCATTATGATGGCGTCATGAGTTAATTGAGGGTCAAATGAGACATGAAATCATATCTCTGATTCATACTCGCTCAAAATATGAAAAAAAAATTGGGGTCACCTTGCATCCTAAAGAGCTATAATGGATTTTGCATAGGCATGTTTTTGCCCATATATGCTATGTATTACAAGAGCTCGCGCGCATTGAAATTCATGTTAAACGGTCGATTATTCAATTATTTATAGTCATAAGAGACAAACATGGTATCAATTTGTTTGTAAGAATATGTGGAATATTATGAAAGAAAAAAAATGGCGATTCTATGGTGTCTAATAGTTTTACGCGCGAAAACGCGCGCGCATGCGCGTGTGCGCGATTTTTAAAAAAATGCTTAGAATGGCCTAAAACGTATGCAAAATGATTTTGAGACGATTTTGAGCATTTCAAAATTTTGCGCGCGCATTGACGCGCGGACGTACGCGCACGCGCGCGTTATTTGACCTGAAATTGACCGGACGGATATTGACCCTGATCATGATAAATATGAATCAGAAATACCTTTTGGTTATGAAGATATGATCAGGAGTTGATTTTCGTAAAATTTTACAAAATGGCGCCTAGATGACGTCATCAGTGAAGGTCAATGTTGAAAACGTTATTGTGCTTTGTACATATGCCTATACATATGTGTGCCAAATTTCAAATTATTTGATTGAGCCATTTCCAAGTTATCTTGCCAACAAAAAAGTGGTTAGAAATAAGAAAAATATATAATATAATAAATAATAAATAAATAAAGGCAATTCTAACGAAATTATAAGGTGGTCTGTACGTTATACAGCCCACCTGAAAATGATAAAAATAATAATAATGATAATAGAAATGATAATAATAGAAATGATAATAATAGAAATGATAATAATGGAAATGATAATGATAAAAATGATAATGATAGAAATGATAATAATGATAACAATAATAATAATGATGATGATAATAATAATAATAACAATAATAATAATAATAATAATAATAATAATATATAATAATAATAATAATAATAATAATATAATAATGAATGATAATAATAATATAATAATAATAATAATAATAATGATGATTTGGGAGATGTGTTCGTATTTTCCTCTTTATGCAAAGCTTTTGTGAATCATTGGATTGAAGTCTAATAGCCCTTTGTATCCTCCAAAAGTCGATGTCCTTGCCTCGCTATAAAATCAAGGAATTAAAACTCGTTCTTAATCTATTGACCTCGTAGCGCCTGATGACTTATTCGATGACCCGAAAGCGGATGTGTTTGATAGGAGTGATTGACGAGACCATTGACGTTGAATTCATCAATGAAGGAGATTCGATCGACGTAAGATTAAAGCATGTTTATAATTATTTTGAGTGCTGGCTTACTCCTATTTTTTTTTTAACAATTCATAAACTCTTGATTTTTATTGTTTTTCTTTCAATTTTTGTTTACGGCCTTGATGCCTTCGATTCTGAGAAAATTTAACATTTACGAGCATTCTTGATTGTCTTTAACCTTTTATGGATCAGGACGATTTTTGTATTTTCTTATTTTGTCTGATTTGTTATTGATAACAAAACATGATATTCTGTCTGCAAACGTCGCTTAAATAATTTACGACAACATCCTCTTTCCGCTACAAGACCGAAAGTCCGCTCGTCAGACAGCCCGACTATGAGACTGACTATGTCCTTCTCAGGGGACTGTCTAACAACTTTCTTGAGGGGAACGTTCACTCGACCGACGACCAAACGAGACCGACATTTTCCTCCTTTAAATATCATGCCTAATTACTTTATCGGTCTTGTGAGCTGTCGGTTTTGTGGGCCGGCGGCCTGGTCTCTTTTTTCTTTTCTATAACTATTAACTTTTCTTAAGTATTTTTTTTTGTTTTGTCTGTCTCTTGGGCTAACGACCTACTGGGATCACCTCCTCCCACTTCCTCCTAACAAATTATTATTTCCCCCAGGGACGCCCGTTTAAATGTTACTGTTTTTATTATAGCTACCGGAGACGTCTGGTAGGAACTTCACGTCAGCTGGGGTCATACCGAATGGGTTCTTGCATCTCAATACATCACCCGTCGTCGCCTCCATCTGCGCCGATTACGAGACACTTTGGATCGAACCGGTACTTGAGCCATCAAGAGTGCGAATAGCTCGCCATGACAAGACTACCACCACTACCACCACCACCACTACTTCAGATGGAACGACAACAACAACAACCACTACCACCACTACGATGCACTAGTAGATGGATGCTGTCTGAGAGCGGTTGCATAGATCGTTCAGGCATTGGGCCTGTACCTGATTATCATGATAATTGGTCTTACTTTAATATCCCGCGCCTTGCACACGAGGCGTCATTTGTTTTTACCAGAGGTGGTCTGGGACTGGAATTCATATTAACCGGCCCTCAGACCTCAAATCAACCGACCCTCAAGTCAAAATATCGAGCGGCCTGTGCCTGTGAAACCCCTATTTTTTACTGACGTAGTACTGCGTCATGAGCCACCACGGTTTTTGACGTGGCATATGAATGTTATACCGTAGAAAATACCGTAACATAATGAATGATGCAGACCTGCAGTGCGTTGATTTATTAACGCGAGCAATCGTTTCTTCTTGGATACGATTGAACACAGATGCGACATTCTCTAACGTAGTACTGCGTCAGCGACTGGTCCAGTCATTGATGCGCCGTGCGAGTGTAAACTAACTCGAAAACAAGAAGAAGAAGGAAAAAAAAAGACGCATGTAAAATAAACAATGCAAACCTTGCGTTGAATAATGCATAAGGATGCAATAATTGCAAACATAGATTTGACTGGGTAGGACGTAGGGATGATAACGCGATCGAAATGACACCACGTGTACAATGGGCATTGGGACGGTAAAAATCACATTGCTGTCAAATTGTTAAAATGCACCATATGTAATGATACTAGCAAGAATATTAAAGATATTATAGACTTGTAATTCTAGTAATAAGGAGTATGATTAATCAAGAAGCCTATACATTTGTTTTATTTCATTGTTTTGTGACGAGTATTGATGCTGCTTCAATTGACTTCTAAATCTAAATACAAAGCATGGCTTGCACGATTATTCATCTACATGTAGATAATTATATATCTGTGTGTGAAACTGAACATTAAATTGTATTATCCAACAGTATGTGCTGCTGTATAAATGTTGAACATTTGAAATCATTAACGAATTTATTATGTAGGTCTGTGAACGATGACTATTGCTTGATTTGACTGGAATAAAATGAACTAAACGAATAGTTGAGATGAATGTCACAGCGCAGGGGCGTACGCAGGGGGGGGGGGGGGGTTGGGGGTTCAAACCCCCCCTTTGGTATTTTTATGTATGTAAACCCCCCCCCCTAAAAAACCTAAAACCCCCCCCCCCCCCTTTGTTTTTTGTTTTTTTTGTTTTTTTTGTTCTTATTACTTAAAAAAAAAAAAAAAAATTATACCCACGGCTAACCTAAATAAGGTGACCTTACCCTCCCCAACGCCAAAAAATGGCCAATTATGAAATTTCGAGACAAAAAAAAAAAAAAAATGTGTCCGCTTAGGCGTAGGCTGGCGTACAGGTTTGCTTATGGTTGCTTACGGTTGTTTACTGTGTGTAAAGCTTTTACTGCTTTGTCGATCTGGCGTAGGGTAGCGTACTGTTGCGTAGGCATGGCGTACAGTAGCGTAGTGTTGCGTACTTTCTGTGTCAAGTTTCTACGCCGAAAGTACGCGAACAAATTAAACATGTTGAATTGTTTGCGTCCATCTTGCGTACCCCTTTGCGTCCCTCAGCATATAGTAACGTAGGCCAGCGTAGTTGGTACGCAACACTACGCAAATCTTCGTATGGACCCCACGCCAATTAGTGACCTGCCAGTGTCACAAATAAAGTATTAAAAATATGCTCATCTGACCCTAATTAAATGCCTAAAACCCCTGAGCTTTCGGGTGTTTATAGCCCCTTGAAACGCGTGGACCCCACGCCTATATACACTCAACCCGCTGCGGTCTAACTGACCCCCCCCCCCCCCCCCCCCCCCCAACTTTGAAAAACGTTTCTTGGAGCCTGCATGTAACATGCAAGAATGGTGCATGGTGATGCAGATTATTTTCTGCACCCCCCTCCCCCCAAACAATTTTACTCAATACGCAACTGACTGTTTTGCAATGCATGAAGTCACATGCTACTGTCTTCTTCCAGTTAATTGCCGCTCCATGGTGATGAAGATAATCTGGTTGATATTGAACTATTAATATGCAAATGTACAATTCATAACCTTATTTTATGCTTTCTTGTAATTTACTGTAAATATAAGAAACAAATTTATGGCACTTCGGCCCGCACGCTGTTGTGTTGACGGGTTCTTCGATGGATGGATAGACGTATGTGTAGTTGTATAGTTGTACGAATATTGGCCCGCTTGGCCCCCCATACTCTTCGACTCTAGCGCAGCTCACTCAGTCAATGCACCGCCCCGGCCGAGCACCGTGTATACTGTATACTGTACGTGTGTTGACTGAAGTGAGCTTGCGACTGAGCTGTCAATCCAATGGTTTTCTTGTGAAAACTTTCCTTTAGAAAATGATAATCAAAGTTCAGTAAACATGACCGTAATATTAACAAAATAAACTTTGATTTCATACCTCCATTCACGAAAACTATATACAAATCGCGGCAATCATGATGGAAATAGGTCTCTAAGTTTGGACGTCGACGGGAAGCCCCGTACGTGTATCTTTCTGTCTTGTGCATCTACTACAAAGCACGTCCTATCGCAAGATGCTTTATTCGGGTAATCCCGACCCTTTGCATAGTGCATTGATACTCAACATAATTTGAGTTGATAATCATCTGTTGTGTGTGTCTTTGATACGGATGTAATGTGGAATATGCATGAGTATCTCTGTCGTCACGCATATCATGCATTATGCATATCGCGTCTGTTTTTGCCCTGGACGTCGACACGGAGGAGGACCTCGGGCGGAGTATTGCCAATTCCACAGAGTAGACTCTCCCGCGGACGTTGGCACCGGGCACCTGGACCCCGAGGGGAGGGTTCAGGAGGAGATAGCTGCACCAACTTCGGTCGGCGATCTCATTAAAAAACAATAGAATACAAAGGCTCGCGGAGACGTCATGCCCCCCGCGGAGTCTTAGCGTATTACTTACTGTGATGCTCAGGATAGCAGAGAAGCGGAGAGGAGAGAAAAGGCGAGACGAGAGAGGGGGGATATATTGTCGAGAGATGGCAGATTGAGGGAAAGAGGGAGAGGGGGGAGAGAGAGAGAGAGAGAGAGAGAGGGGGAGAAAGAAAAAGAGAGAGAGAGAGAGAGAGAGAGAGAATACTTGATGGGTATATGTGTGTGACGGTTCTAGAACACCTACCCCCTGCCCTGGATAACCACCCCTAGTCAACTACCACCTACACTCTAAAAAAAAAAAACTGCTCAATTTGAGTCAAAATGTTACTCTTTTGGGTGGTCAAAAGGAAACCACCCGACTTTTGAGTAAACTTTACTCAGCATGTGTTGAGTAACAAATCTACCCATCTGTTGAGTAAAAATATTACTCAATAAAAGACTAAATCTCTACTCAGTTTGAATGAGTCAACCTTTACTCAATATTTACTCTTTGTTTAGCGGTTTCCTTTTTTACTCAGTACTGGGTAGAAACGTAATCAACTCATGTCGAGTAAGAAACTGCTCATGAGTTGAGCCAAATTTTACTCAATTAACGAGTATATGTTTTGACTCAAATTGTTTGAGCGATTTTTTTGCTCAAATATTGAGTATGTTTTCTGGGTAACGCTTAGTTGCTCAATCAATATTGAGTAAAAACATGTACTTAGTTAAGTACATGTTTTTACTCCATTAGGGGTGCAAACCGATGCAATAGCAGCACCTTTAGGGGTTCAATCCTGCACCCTTTAAAAGGTGCAATCCTGCACCCATCATCGAGGAATACTGGTAAAATTTGCTCGTACACAAATACATATTAAACATGCATGATGTTTCTTGGTTAGTAATCATATAATCAATATATCTATTGCTAAAACGTGAATGTAATTGTAACATGATCAGACAAAATAATATATTGGTTAATGATTGCCAAAGGAAAATACAAAATCAAAAAATTGATATGCATTGTCATAATTTGCTTAACAAATCATGATAAATGTATTTTTATGTGAACACGTGGAAAGTAATCATGAATATGCATGCAATATGCAAACTTTTATTTTGCACCCTCTTTTGGTCGATAGGGTTCATTTTTGTGGGAAGGGTGCAAAATCTTATATTGCACCCTTTTTTTAACCCCTTTTCCTTCAATAGGGTTCATTTTTATGTAAAGGGTGCAAACTCTTATTTTGCACCCTTTTTTGCACCCTTTTTTCTAAGAGTGTATCTCAGTTCTTTCGCATCTTTCTGCACGCGCACATGCATGCACGAGACATGCACATGACGGACAATGAAAGAGTACAAAATATCCAGTTCCTTAGGTAGACAAAGGAACATACAGCTGCTATTATGTAAAAATGTGTAGAACAGGTGTCACATGCATATTGACAGCTAGTTGCACTTTCCATCGATCCAACTTTCACTCGCACCCGAGGTAAATTCGGGTAAGAGATCAATGTTGATTTATTTATCACCTGCCGCAGCGTAATACCCAACCGTAGTTTACTCAAAATTGATACAAACGAAATTCGTACTCAATGTTGAGTCATTGATTTACTCTTTATCGAAGGTAACAAATTACTCGGGTGACGAGTACCACTAAAATCAAGGTCTTACTCCAGCTTGAGTACTGAATTGCTCATTTTGTTACTCAACTTGTTTTACTCGGCACAATTTACTCGCTGACATTAAGAGTGTAGGACAACTACCCCCTAGGACAACTACCCTCAAAGGCCACCCTCTATGACGACTTCACCCCAGGACAACTACCCTTAGACACCTACCCCATAGGAAAACTACCCCCTAGGACAACTATCCCCCGGAAACACTACCCCCTGGGACAACTACCCCCAGAAAAATACCCCGGACAACTACCCCCTTAGGACAACTACCCCCGGACATATATCCTAGGGGTAGTTGTCTGGGGGTAGTTGTACGGGGGTATGTCCTAGGGGTTAATTCTCCGGGGGTAGTTGTCCGGGTGGTAGTTGTCCTAGGGGTTAGTTATCATAGGGGTAGTTGTCTGGGGTAGTCGTCCGGGGGTAGTTCGTCCTGGGGGGGGGGGGTAGTCGTCCTAGAGGATGGTTGCCCTAGGGGGTAGTTAAATGGGGGTGGTTGTCCGGGGTAGTTGTCCTGGGGGTAATTGTCTGGGGTAGTCGTCCGGGGGTATTTCGTTATGGGGGTAGTCGTCCTAGAAGATGGTTGCCTTAAGAGGGTAGTTGACTGGGGTGGTTATCCGGGATGGATGTCCTGGGGGTAGTTGTCCGAATACGGTGTGTGACAGAGGGCTACTACTAGCCTCAGGTGATTATAATTAATAGATGAAACACCTGGATGGAAGGGCAGATTCAGATGACACATAGTTTTCGGTTTGCTTTGATCAAAACATAAACGACACATACATGATACATCGTATGAAATTAAAACAGATATTCGAAAATTCATTTCACCCCTTCCACAAAAGATTTAGATTTTCTTCATGATTACCCTACATCCATTCTTTACCCGGTGAACCCCAGTAGCGGATCCAGGAGGGGGGACCGGAGGGCCCGACCCCCCCCCCCCCCCTGGGAAAAAAAATGTGTATTTTTACATTTGTTAACGTTAATTTTACCTTTTTGGGGAGATGGACCCCCCCCCCCCTTGAGCGCCAAGGGGGGGGGGGTGCAATTTTTCAAATTTTCGAGGACCAAACAAAAATTAGTGATCACTACCCCCCCCCCCCCCCCCCCCCCATCCATTGTGTATGATGTGTGAACCGGTGTGCGGAAATGGTGTGTTGGGGAGGGGAAGTGAGAGTGCATGTTCATGTGTGTGATAAAGTGCAAAATGAGAGACAGAGAGGATTATCAATAATAAGGCGCGTAGCCAAGGGGCGGTGGGGGCAGTCGCCCCCCCCAAAAAAAAAAAACAACAACAACAACAAACAAACAAACAACAACAACAACAACCGCCGGCCAAATAAAAAAGAGAGAGAGAGAGAGAGAGAGAAAGAAGAAAGGAAGAGGACGTAGGAAGAAAAAGGATTAACAGTCGAGAACGGTACAACGAATCGTCTTCTTTCTCTGATAATGTAATGAAACGTCAAAGCTTCCAGGCTTCGCGCGGCCGGGAAGGGGGTGGAACTGAATTCAGACAAGGATTAAGAGTCGAGACTGGTACTACGAATCGTCTTCTTTCTTTATTAATTTAATGAAACGTCAACAGAAACTGAATTTAGACAAGGATTAAGAGTCGAGAACGGTAAACGAATCGCCCGCCCCCCCCCCCCCCCACTCAGTGTTATTTAGGGTATTATGCTTGTTCCCTCTTTTTGAAAGCACCCCCTATCTGAGGACTGCCAATATTTCCGAACCCCCATTTCGCGGGCTTTTCGCGGGATTTTCTTGCCTTGGAGACCCCCCTAAATCATGAAAAATGCTCAATGTACCCCCCTAAATTCGGAATAATTTCTCAGGAGTCCAAAGAGATGAGAGAAAAAAAGAAAAAACACCCCCTTTTTAAAGAAATCTCCGAGTGAAAAGTTAATACACTTATTTTACAATTCTCGGGCCGGAATTTGTCGCACGAAAAGTACCCCTTTACCGGACATTTTGGGAACACGCATGGGGTCCGTCCGTTCTCGAGGCCGGGACGAATCGTCTTCTTTCTCTAATAATCTAATAGAGCTTCCACGATTTGCGCGGGTTGGGGAACCCACCCCCCCCCCCTCCCTGCACCCACCCCCTACGGAGCGCGCTTCGCACTCTTCGTATGCTCACTACCGCCCAAAGACGTTTAAATATAATTACCGCCCCCCCCCCTAAAATAAAATCCTTGCTACGCGCTTGACAGGATAATAACCCAGGTAGCAAGCCCATGTGGGACCCACATGGTTCCCATATTCTCTGAAATGTTATCTTTATTGAGGGTGACTTGAAAAAGTTAATAACTGGGAAGGGAGGGGGTGCAAACCGTGCAACCTGCCACACGCCTCTACTTCTTGGTTGCTTTGATCTATTGCCGAAAATATTTTGGCACCTATCATTCCCCCCCCCCCCCCCCCAACCACAGATACAAATCGACACCGTTGTTCAAAGTGCATTTAAATTTTAAAAGACGAATATATGCGTGCCCCTCCGAGGAAGGGAGGTCGTTTCCTTTTCAATTCATTTATATCAGAAATATCTGTGAAATTCGAACACAATGTCAATATGTCCAAATGAAAACGTACTTTGACCATCATATAATTACCAACTTTTTAATTTGAACGAGAACTAGGGTTTATGGTATTTGTTCAGTGTAGGATACCATAGTAGTTCACGAAATTAAATGGCGACAATAGTCAAATCACTGACTAATCGCCAATAACTCAAAACACAACAACAACAACTTTTTTGTTTTTTCAGTAACTTGACATTTGCTATCGCCTTATTGGATATTTTGGGGTTGTTCTGCGGTCAGAGAACTTGAAGTCTATTGTAATTCAGATATTTTATCGCATTTCCAAACCAGGACACTGCATGTGTTTGAACAAGACTGACCTCAACCACGGATTTCTGTAGCGAAACATCGAAAGGTAATACGGTATGCAGTTCCATACCTCAGTCCCATACCTTGCATTTTGTGTCTATGTATTTTCTCTGCCAACGCAATTGCAACGCGTCAACTGAAAGAAGAGACATGCTATGACTAGCTGAGTTGAGTATCGGTTTGAGAGAACTTGTATGATTCTTAAGGCTTTTGTTAAGTTAAGCATTATGAGTAGTCCGATTCTATCCAAATAAGAAGACATGGTCATGGAGAAAAAATTGGAAGAAAGAATGAAACTTTAAGTCTTTAGGAAGAAGAGAAGAAGAAGAAGAAAAATAAGTAGAGTCTAGAACTAGAAGTAGTCTAGTTAGATTTAGAAGAAGGAGAAGGAGAAGAAGAAGAAGAAGGACAATTGACAGTGTCCTGTTAATCATGTTGAAATGAATTTGATTTATTAATGTTGACTTTATTTTATAAACAAATTAGATCTAATTAAATGTTAATTTAATGAATTAATGTTGACATTAACACAGTGTTTAGGTCTATGGTTATTGTTGCATGATTTTTCACCTGTATTCACCTGTCTTTTCAGGCTCCTTAGTAAGAAAATGTCTTGTAATGCCCTCCCATAGTTCATCAGTACACCACTGCAAAGCGTTCTAATCTTGGTGATAATTGATATCACCTAGACTTAATTGGCACCAATTTGCATGCATAAAGAGTGATGTAAACAAAAACAAGATAAACTGCATTTGTAATCGCCCCTTCCCGCACCTAAAAATGCCTGTTTACGTGTTGCCAATTTTATGCTCACTTTATGACAATAGCGATAAGTTTAGTGTACTAAAGTAAGTTGTAAAGTAAGTATCAAGTTGACAACAGGAAAACAAGCATCTTCTTATATATACCCCATGAATTTTGCGTTTCCGGCAGAACCAACATTGCGAAGTCTCGTCAGAGGTCAGCATTTTTGTAATGTACATGTATTTGCCAATCGCATGTAAGCCCATTGTCTTTAAGGACATGTGGAAGGTGAGCAAAGCACTACCATTCCGGTAACAAATTTCCGCATTTTGGTTCAATTTTCTACCGATTTCAAAGTGTTTAGTATGAGAAGAAAGGTCCACTAGCAAACTCCAAAGGTAGTTTGCAAATTTCGTCAGGCGTATGAAGGGGTAATTACAAATGCATTTTATCATGTTTTGTTTACCTCACTCTTTATGCAGGCAATAGGTTGCCAATTAAGGCTAGGTGATATCATTATTATATTTCATAACCACTTAGCCCTTAAGGTTAGATACATCTGTCACATTCATAATTAACAGGTACAGTAGATCTACAATGTCGACTATGAATGGCATGTACATCTTTAAAAGCCAGGATCTTTTTTAAAGGTACCCCCTTCATGAACCGTACATGCTGCTGTGCACATTCCTGTAGTGCAATCTCGATCTTATTCACAAAACATAGTATTTCTTTTTTTTCTTCTCTGTTTTGCAGGTCGGCAAACCTTGTGAGGAGCAAAAGAGCCACTGTCTCATCAAATACTGACGGCAAACTATAAATTTGTCAACCTAGCCATGCCTCTGTGCTTCTTTCCAAAGTTAACACAAAGAGCATCAATATGGTCGATATGTGCAAGACAAATGAACTGCAGAACAGGTGGTTTACAAAGACAATCCAGCATCATCTTTACCTGTTCCTCTCCAGTTAGTCATGCAGCAAATAGAAAGATTCTTCCAGATTGCCATTTAAGACATCCTCCATTACATTCAGTTGTTCAAAGAATGTGTGGCCCTTCGTATACCCATGGGGATGTTGTAGAGTTGTTAAAGACAGGCGTCTCTGATACGCAACCTGCTCGGTTAGGCTCCACGAGCGGCATGTCTGGGGCAAAGACGCCTTCTCTCGGGGATGCCTTCTCGGTCGAGAACAAGGAGAGGGTGATGAGCAGTCTTTCTTCTAAGCTGAGGACACTGAGGAGATTTTACACCAAGGATGTGAAGCAGAGAGGGGCAGTGGTGGTGCCCCTGTGCAGCGTCAACGGGGAACCCTGCATTCTGTTCACCCTCCGGACCAGGACACTCAAAGACCACTCGGGCGAGGTCAGGTGTGTAAATAATAATAATAATAATAGCTAGTTCTTATATAGCGCTTTTCAGGACCGTAGGACCTCTCAAAGCGCTTTACAGATTATTACCCGGTCATAGGATTCAGACTTACCCTCACACAATGTATGCACATTCTCCAATCCCTGGGGAGCATTCCAGCCAGGCGTCTTTTTTACAAGTGCACACTTGCTAATCAAACCACATTAGCTTTCGCATCCTACCGGGTACCCATGTACAAACTCTGGAGCTCAAGAGTAGATGACTGTCTTCTTAGCCCTCTCTCTCTCTCTATCTCTCCTAAATGTGTAGATTTCCAGTGAGAAATTTTGAGTAATACGTGACCTGTTTTTTTTCTCACTTTAAACAAAATTATTGTACAAGAGAGGACCACTATTAACACACTTTGTATGTTAAGGTGATTTAGCTGATCCCACTTCACATTCATTTATTCTATTCTATTTTAGTTGTAAAATAAAACTTTGACATGAGGACTAAAAATGTTTTCCAGAGAAAAACTTGGACCTTGGTGTATTTTTCTTAAATGCGGGGTAATTTACCGACATCACTACCACTGATGTAATGTATTTTTAATTGCATCCTATGTCGGCATTCATAGAGCAATTGAACTTCAATAGTAGATCAATAATAGATTTTCAGACCAAGATTCTACATGTAGTATTTCCTCAGTTTTCCAGGAGGCAAGATGGACCCCACGGATGGGGACGTGTGCTACACCGCTCTGCGTGAACTACAGGAGGAGCTTGGCATCAACCCAGAGACAGTGGAGGTGTGGGGTAACCTAGCCCCTGTCGGAAGAGAGGTAGATTACGTGCTAAATTGTCTGTTGTGTTTCAAGGTGATGTTCACTAATTCTCTTTTGTCAGTGCCCTCTGTATTCGCTTCACTTGCATGGATGACGACCCTCAAGAGGTTTGCATGATATCAACCCCATTTCATGGTAATATGACACATGCTCCTTCGGCTTTCACTCGTGGAATTTCTACCCAAACTGAGTTCTTAACTTTAAAGTAGTCACCCGAAGAATAAAAAGTGTTTTTAATTGATGCAAAATTCATATCATTGCGAAAAGGAAGCCTTACTGATCAAATGTAAAAACTTTCCTCTTCAAACTATGTTTGGGGCCCGCAGTAATCATCTCTCAAAAGTGTTAATTTTGAGATCCTGATTTTCTGCTTTCAGCGGTCCTCTGTAGAGCATCAAGATTCGTGACGTCACGTGTGAGACACAATTACCGACAAAATTGCATTTTAAGCCCTCCATGATATCTATATGATTTTTAAGCAAATTGTTCATGTTTTTCAAGAGAAAATCTTTCCATCCATATTTAATTTGTCTATGATTATCAGTTGTCATGAATTTTATTTGGGTGACTATTTTAACCATGGATCCAACACTATACCTAACCCTAACCTCAAAGCCAATTGCAACCCAAACTTTAACCCAGTCCTTCTGATGAAGAAAAGTCCTGAGAAATTGTTGAAAGAGCCTGTTGGATCACCAAACTCATCATTTTGCCTGGTGATAACTCATTGATTGATGCTCAGAGATACATACATTTTCCAGTGATAATTTTTCCAGGCTTTGATTCTTCGAAAGTGTAGGGTTAGGTTTGCAAATAATGCTCTGTTTCCTCTTGTTTTTCTCTCCGGTTCTCTCCTTTTATCTCCGCTCCTCCCTCTCTCTCTCTGTCTGTCTCTCATGCCCCCTCTCTCTCTCCTCAACTCACCTCTCCTCTCTCTCTCTATCTCCCTCCCATAGTCACCCTTGCATTCACTTTATCTTTTATCGAAAGGTTGTTATGGTACCACAATCAATTGTTTTTATCGTCTCTGTGTAACTTTTATTCACATACACTATGTATATCTCAAACACATACCATGTACTTGTTTATTTGCAATTTAATCACATTCACTGAAAATCTCAACTCACATTTGCACAAATGAAATCAAAAGTTATGTATATATGGGTTGCGATGGCTAGCTTTCTAAAATCATTTTATGAACACTGTTAAGTACTACAATATTTAAACAATAGAGGTTACCATACTGAATACAGGTACTTGTATAATGTAGGTCCTGTGACATCCCCCCCCCCCCCCCTCATTGTCTTCCATTCAGTCTGACATCCTTTGCTGTGCTTATTCTGAGGTCAGAGAGTGTTGGTGTTATTGTTCCATTGTTTCAGTGTTTTAAAAACACCAGACAGGAAATATGATAACATTAGCATAGTAGGTCCCTGATACTTGTGTGCGGTTTTCCAGTATTAGCAACAGCTTTTTATAAAAAAAACCTTATACTTCAAGTTAATGACTTTGACTCTCATTCATAGTGAAATCTATTTTTTTTAAAAGTGCAATCTGTTATAGGATGCGAGGTCAGTTTGAATTAATAGGCCATGTTGCTAACAATAATATGAGAAGTTTTCAAACAATGCTCCAATTTTACTGCAAAAGTATGCACACCTACGAGCCATTGTGTTAGCAGGCCTGATAAAAACCCGATTTAAATCGGTTTCCCGATTTGTTTTTATTTTTCCCGATTTTTTTTCCTGATTTTTTTTTTCTTCCCAATTTAAATTTTTTTTTTTTTCCCGATTTCCCTCTTATTATCTCTATTCTTCCCTATTTTTTCCCCAATTTTCCCAATTTTGTCTCAATTTTCTTACTCGAAAGGGGGGAATGTTTGTTAGATGCCATTTTTTCCCCGCGAATCGTCTTTTTTTTTTTTTACTCAAGGGGGGCGTGGTTGAGGGGAAAACAAAAAACCTATTTTTTATCTATTTTTATCACCCCTGGTTAGGCTTGCCAGAACTTTACAATCCAAACCGCATTATAAATGTTCACTATTATTTTTATTATTAAATCAACTCCAAACTGATCAGTCCTAGGCCATTTGTTGCGGCCTTAATTCTTGTTTGGTGCTGTTGGTATGCCTAGATATATATATTGTAGTTTGAGGTGAAAATCTGCATTCCTTAAATTATGCAAAGTGCAAATAAAGCAGGTGCTTTACATTGTCATCTGATCATGCTTGTGAATAGTATTTGATATGATGAATATTCATTTTAATGGGTGTACATCCATACTAGGCAGATTTGGTTAATACAAATTCCCATTGTTGGGTCCAAATTTGATATATTAAACTTTTTCTTTTTCTTCAAAAAAGAAGGGTATCTGTCTATAAAGTTTGTTATGCTGAATCACATATTATGTATTTACATACATTATTGTGTTTCATGATTGTTTGATTTGGGTGTGAACTAACTGCATTGATTTTCATGACTTGTTGTTATTATTTTATATGATTATTTTTTATATTGCATACGTTAATGTCTGTCTGCACTAGTTTGGCCAGGAGGGATTAGACCTCACAGCGTGGTCACTGTCAGGTGATTATCTCATCAAATCAGCTCTCTATTAAAGGGAAAGTCCACCCCCAAAATAAGTTTGTTTCGATAGAGGCAGAATAATAAGAAAATCAGGTGAGTGAAAGTTTGAGCAAATTCTGAATGAAAATAAGAAAGTTATGAATTATTGAAGTTGTGATCAATCAAATACAAATTGGCAACTCTGTGACTTATTATACGAGCTCTCCTTCATTTGCTTTGTGCATAATATTCCATAAAATCATGTTTTCTTCGTTATTGATGACGAAATATATATTGTTCCTTGCAGGGGGAGTATAGAAACATATTTGCAATTATTATATTTAGGGTGCATGTATGGTTGAAATTTTTCTTGAGGGAAAATGAAAATTTTAGATTTTTTAGTACTGAGCAAATGGAAGCTGAGCTCGCATGATACGTCATAGAGTTGCCAATTTGTGTTTGATTGATCACAACTTCAAAAATCCTAACTTCCTTATTTTTAATCGGAATTTGCTCAAACTTTCACTGACTTGTTTCTCTCATTTTTCTACTCCTATTAAAACTAACTTAATTTCAGGTTGGACTTCCCCTTTAACATTAAGAAAAGGGGATCATGGGGGATCAAAGAGTACCACTTTGGCATTGTTTGCTATATAGAGGTCTCTAGTAGCTACAGGTAGTGCAGTCCCGCTTTCAGAAATTTTATTTTTCTACACTTTTTAATATGGAAATACATGTTCCGTTTCTTTTACGGTACTGGTGAGTCTAAAATCATAAGAATAACAATATATATTTATTTGTTTGTTTACAGAGGATCACAGTTGTACCAATCATAGGCCACCTTGGAGAGATTGACATTCAAAGTCTGAAGTACAACCCTGATGAGGTAAGGAGGTCTGGGATTGGTCAAGATGTGTGGGGATTGGTCAAGGTGTGTGGGGATTGGTCAAGGTGTGTTGGGATTGGTCAAGGTGTTTGGGGATTGGTCAAGGAGTGTGGGGATTGGTCAAGGTGTGTGGGGATTGTTCAAGGTGTGTGGGGATTGGTCAAGGTGTGTGGGGATTGGTCAAGATGTGTGGGGATTGCTCAAGGTGTGTGGGGATTGGTCAAGGTGTGTTGGGATTGGTCAAGGTGTTTGGGGATTGGTCAAGGAGTGTGGGGATTGGTCAAGGTGTGTGGGGATTGTTCAAGGTGTGTGGGGATTGGTCAAGGTGTGTGGGGATTGGTCAAGGAGTGTGGGGATTGGTCAAGGTGTGTGGGGATTGTTCAAGGTGTGTGGGGATTGGTCAAGGTGTGTGGGGATTGGTTGAGTTCTGGTAAACTTGTGTAAAGGAACTGTGTGACCGTTATCACTCTGATATTTTAATCTAATTTTCATTTGTATTTATGTTGGTATTGACCTACATCATATGATAATAGTCCTTGGTATGTATAACCTATGCTCTATAAAAATTAGTTGAATATATTACTGGGAACATTATCTCACAAAGCCATCATAGGCTATTTTTAAGTTCTCCTTTTTCATTTTATAGAAATTGAAAAGTAATACATATGATATTGATTACTCAGTATTTTTATCGTTTTGTTGTATGAATATTTAACTACTTTGATTGTATTTTTTATGAAAATGAAGTAAATAAACAAAACAATTAATTGATTGAGTCTGAATCTGAAACTATTTTTCATAGGTAAAATCATCTGAATCTTAATCTTATTTTTGTTCTTCTTTTTTTTCAGGTTGCTTCCGTGTTTGTAATGACGCTGTCCCATCTGTGCAGGCCAGCCTGCCAAGCGTACACTGTCTTCGAGCCCCACCAGTATTCTGGACAACCTATGGCGGCTTTACCTGTCTTTCTAGGCGGAGAGCATCGGGTCTGGGGACTGACCGCTTACATCTTGGACCTTGCCCTTCAGGCCATTGTCCCTGACCACTACCGGTCACTTCTTAGTCAGGTCAAGAAAGAACAGGCTGCTTCATCATGACGGTAGGGAATTGCCTAAGGGAATTTAATTTAAACTATTGCCAATGGGAATTCAACCCATTGTTACAATTTTATATAACACAGTGGAATCAAGGCTATCTAATATAACAGATATTGACTGGTAGGATGTGTGATATAACATTTGTGGACCGCACAGCAGGTGTATTTTCCTTCGTGATCAAATTTTCCCTCAGCGGTCAGCGCTGTGCTCTTCATGAAAATATCAGCCGTTGGGAAATGTCCTTTGCTAACTAAACTGAATGCGCTCCAAGCTTTAGTGGGATTAAGCACCAAGATCATGTGTAAAGCCTGTGCTATCAAATTCTACTCACAAGTACATACAGTTATCAACTAAATTATTCATACCCCTTGTAAATTTGATTTTTGTTTTGTTTTTTGTATCTCAGGAATAAAAGGTGGACTCTAGGAGTCTCAAGAAACATAAATCGAGACAAATAGATATTTCACATACTTAAAAATGTTCAAAACTTGTTAAAGATATTAATAATTTAGTTTGTAACTGCAGATTTTGGTCAGTGTGGGCTGTTAATAATTGTGCAATAAGTCGAGTAGTGCAATTTTAAAAAGGTGGATCCAGAGTAAATACCATCAAACCAGAAAAATACACAACGTGAAACCTTCATGGTTTTAAGGCAATTTTCAGAGCAAGAAACTTTCATGAATTGTAAAAATTCAGCTGAAGGTTGATCAACTATTTTGTGGCATGAAACTTCTGCAAATTCAAACCACTTGCGAAATCTGTGAACATTTAATTTGTGCGATAGTTTCTGGCTTTCAAGTCAGGTTGATAAAAATGACACTAGATTAACATTAGACCAAACAAATCATGATATTACCCCCAATGGCAAGGACTTTTATCTGTTTTCCGTCAGGTTCACTCAGGTTGGAGTAAGTTTGAGGGTAGGACTGGTGTTACAATAACATCCAATGAATCTAAGATTATTAAGTAATATTGACTGCCTTCTGGGCAATACAACATTTTCTTATACCGCGTAATATACCAGCAGCTGGTGCGCGATGAAATTTACAACTGGCTCGATTATTGCTCACTAGTTTAACAGGCATTTTGCCATTGACTTTTCAGATTGGGCAATAATATTTGTTCATTGGTTTACTGTATAACCATATTAACCGGCAAATTACACACAAAATCCCATTGACTTTTCAGATCGGGCAATAATATTTGTTCATCGGTTTACTGTATAACCGTATTGACCGGCAAATTACACACAAAATCCCATTGACTTTTCTGAGCGGTCAATAATATTTTGTTCGCCTGTAGTTTTGTTGGTTTATCCATCAAACCTTGAGGGCAATAACATTTAAAAATTGTCCTGCTCAAATGTCTGATACGATTAATAATACCAAATATTTTCTGGTTTTCCCCATTATGTACATTGTATTTGTTCATGTCTCCTAAGTCCAAACCCTATATCATATTGAAAGAATATTTGAGTAAATCTTCCATACATAGACAATACCATATATGAGAAAATAACACTATACCATGAATAAATAATGCGAGGGAAACAGTTTTAATTCTCTGAAGGTTATGTACAGTACATTTTACGACCTGAGTCTGGCTTTATTTTGAAAGAACCTGATATAGGATTTATTTTGATAGTTTGAAATTTAGCTGTGTAAATTCTGTCTGGTTGGTTACATATATAGGACAATATAGTTTATACTTGCCCATAAAAAAGCCATGTTATATCAGGTTCAAAATACGATAGAATACATTGAAGTGGGATGAACTTAATAACCCTGTATTATAGGGGGTGTAGCATGACGGGACTACGTGTCCTCGTGTCTTTCCCGTGGCCTGGCTCGGAGTCGATCAGGTATAATACAGCTATGGACAACGCAACCGCATTATTCACGTGCGTGCAACATATGCGAAACCTAAGCCCGAGGAGAACTTTGGTCTGTTCCATGAACGCTAGCGCGCGCTGACTGTTCATCGAGTCCACTCGTTCACGTGCAGTTGTCCAAAAGAAGTCGTAGATGGCGTTAACCAGTATTTGCCATGCTACACCCCCTTTAACAAAGAGTTTGTTAGTCTACTTTATAAATGAGTTTCCAATGCATTTCATATGGGAGAATCAAGCAAGGATAATCTATATGTATTATCTAAGACTTCTAATGTAATCTTATCACACTGTTTTTATAAATCAAGCCATAGTACAGATCATAAGTTGACCGCTGCCCTCTACAGCCCATGTGGACTTGTCTTTATCAATGGTTAGATTGACGAATTTTGAAAAGACAGGTCTGAAGTCTGAACTAAAATAACTAAATAGTATTACTACAATCCTTTTAAAATTTAATTTGTCATATATTATATATTTGATAGGTGTTGTAACGATCCAAGCTCTATTTACTTATGTTTAATCACCTTTGTTGCAACTTTGCAACATTGTTATATTCTTTTTCACGTGAAGTCAATTTAAATGGATTGTAATATTGAAAATGATGTGTTATATTATATTCTTTTTCGTATGATGTTAACTCCAATGAATTGTGAAATTGTGTGTGAACATGCATAAATAAATAAATGAAATGAAATGAAACTATGCTGCATTACATCAACAGTACATGGATGCCATCCTAAAATTGCAATCCTTATGCAGGTGTACTGTGAGTTTGCAGGCACAGACCCATGTCCATTGTAATGCATAACAGAGAGTCTAAGCATGAAGACTATGAGAGACCACAGTCAGTAGGCCATGTACTGTAGCTAAAGCTGATACAACCAGAAACTTGCAAAGTTAGGCTCCACTCAAGTCTTTATAAAATTGTGTTTAAAGACCCTACCGAAAGTGAAATATGAAATAGATGAATTATATATCAAAGGAAAGCTTACAAGCCATAGATTACAATACAACCAATTATATTCTACTTTAGTGCCTGTCAGACGAGTAACAGCTCTCTGAAAACTAGAAATCTAAAGCTTTGACAATCGGGAGTTGCCGACCTAAAAACCAGCTGTCGAGTTGATGACATCATCTTATGTGGAGTACGCATATTTACAATGACTTTGCATTGATTAAGCATGGCTCATCACCTCGGCTATACAAGCGAGCCGATCGGGTGCACATACTATGTCATCCCTGTAACTGCGGCAAATTTGACCCCTGTTTACCTGTAGTTCGGAGAGGTGCGGAAATCAAGCTTTTAATTCCCTTTTGTGCAATACTGAAAGGAAATTTTTCTTCTTCATTTCTTTATACAGTGTATTTGTATTCTCTGCTCTTTCAGCTTTCCGTTGATAAAAAGTTGTATTTTCATCGGATAGGGCCTTTAAGTGTGGAATGAGAGTCCTTGCTTATAATGTAGTGATTCATGACAATGTTATGTGGCTGCTTAATCAATGTTTTATGTTTTTATTGTGCTTCCATAATGACCTTGTATTTGCCTTTGATATCTGAAATATTCTGTTGTAGTCGATACCGAAGCATACCTTGTTGATGTTGAAGAAATAGTATATATATGTGTGAAAAGTTACATGTTCCTATTATTAGTTGCATATGATATTATGAAAGAAATTTCTATAATTGTACGAAAACATGCTCTAAGTTCCTATGCATTATTTAGCCACTAGGCATTCAAAATCAAGTTCAGAGTTTGAAGGGAATCTAAGAAATACTATTAAGTCTTACTTGTGTTGATCCCAAAAATCGCTGATTTCGGTATTGCTTTTGTGTTGAGCATCATAACTCGCAATTTAGGCTTTGAAGTGAGAGTGAGAGTTCATTATTTCACTAAAATAATTAGTGTATCGTAAGTAAGTAAGCCGTACTGTACATGTATACTTTTGTATCTACCTCATAAGTTTTATGTAGAATATACAACTACCGGTATAGAATATTCCACTTAAACTATAGAATGTACCACTCAAACTATAGAATGTACCACTCAAACTATAGAATATACCACTCAAACTATAGAATGTACCACTCAAACTATAGAATATACCACTCAAACTATAGAATATTCCACTCAAACTATAGAATGTACCACTCAAACTATAGAATATACCACTCAAACTATAGAATATTCCACTCAAACTATAGAATGTACCACTCAAACTATAGAATATACCACTCAAACTATAGAATGTACCACTCAAACTATAGAATATACCACTCAAACTATAGAATATACCACTCAAACTATAGAATGTACCACTCAAACTATAGAATATACCACTCAAACTATAGAATGTACCACTCAAACCATAGAATATTCCACTCAAACTATAGAATACACCACTCAAACTATAGAATATACCACACAAATTTTTGTGATCTCACAATATTATTAGACAAGGAACATCAAGGTTTAAACTGCCTACCAATGAGGAATTTTGTCATAAAATTTGTGAGAAGAGAAAAAAATTGATGTGTTCTTCTTAATATTGCAGTAGAAAGAGGAGGAGAGTGAAAAGCATTCAGTTTATGCGGAGTACTAAAACTGTTCTCTTTAATTGCTCCAATGCCAAATGTTATGTGCCAGTGCAACATACAGGTTAATGATTAAAAAGCATTTTGTTTTATTGTGTATATATGAATGTAAGGATTATATATTAATATATCAATAAACGTATTGGCCATCATAAACCTAAGTTATGCTTCTTTGTTTGTTTTTAGAGTCAATAAAATATTATGAGGGCAATAGTACAGTTATTTACCCAGGATCATGCTCAAGTGCTTGTACGGGAAGCACAAAGTTCAATATTCAGGGGCATTGCAAGACCGCTGTGAAGGGAAGGGGGGTTGGGGAGGGGAGAGGAAGGGGGAGGAGGTTGTCAGGCCAGATTAGCAGATGACCTTTTGGGGTATTCCAACAAATGAAAAAGAACATCCTTTTTTTTTCTCTCCATTTACGATCATAGTTTTAATTGTTCAATGTTTTGGCATCTATTGCAGATTTGTGCATGTGTACCATTACCATCTGATGCAGGAAAAGGAAGTAAATAAGGTCGGGGGAGGAGGAAAAGAAGGGGAAAAAGGTGAGGAGAACAAAGAATGAGGATATATTATAGACCCCTTCTCATACTTTCACCTAATTATTAAAAGACATGCTCAATTTATACAGTTAACAACCAAATTATTCATATTCTTACCAACTTTTGATTTTTTTTAAAAGTATGTCACAAGTTGATTTGACATATTATAGCTTACATCTCAAAATATTCACCAAAGGCCCTAATTCAAACTGTCCCCTTTCAATCTTAAGTTACGAAAAACACCTCCCCCCCCCCCCCCCCCAAAAAAAAAAAAAAAAAAAAAAAAATGGAAAAAAATGGAAAAAAATGGAAAAAAATGATAGTAATAATAATAATAAGCTCAAATTTACAAGGCTCAAAGGGTACAAATAATTTAGTTAATTGCATGTCATCCAACTTCTGCTCCTTCGTTATCGGAACACATGCTACGCCTCTTTAGATGTATCCCACGGTGCTGTTATTATTACATATCCATTTTATGTAAGGAGTGAATTTTTGAAAGTTTTGTTTGTTTTTATTTTGTTTTGAATATTGTTTGATGGTGTCGTCTTCAAATAACTACCTCACAATGCGTTTCTATATTCCAATTACATGTTTCTTTATTAACACAAGCAATAACAGTATTTGAATGTTCTTAAACCTGTCGGCAGTCATCAAAAATGTAATATTTGGCAACCAATCCAATTTTGAAGTAAGCATTTCTGTGTCTTAGCATTGGTTTTACTCATCAAACTAATGTTATGAACCCTGATTTTTGTATGAAAAGTATACGAAATACATGTAGACCGTACACCTACTTTTGCATTGACATATTCCTAAATTTTGCTGCAAAAGGTTGTCAGGTATGCAATGACTTATTTATTGAAATACAGTAGGCCCATGCCAAGGGGGTGGGGGCGGGGGGGGGGGGGGGTAGAGGATTTTTATTTTTGTCCCGAAATTTGAAAATTGGACCGATCGATATTTTTTGGTCACCCATTGGTACAATTTTTTAAATATTTTTTTTTAATAAAAAAAAATGAGAGGGGGGGGGGGTTTCCTCCAAAACACATACACACATCCACCCCCCCCCCCCTGTGTACGCGCCTGGGTAGGCCTACCATGACGAAACTAATCTTCAAAAAGGAATCGACACTTTTCACACAGATCTTGGGTGAAGCTTAAAAAGAATTATAATAAAATGTTATTTCCTGGAGATGATTACTTTGAGAGTGGTATATAAACTACGAAATATCTAGAGAAAATAAATTGAAAGATAAGTTTTTATTTCCCCGAAAAGGATCGCATATTATATTATAATTATGTTCATTTATTCATTTGCTTTTTATATTTACATAGGGTAGCACTTATCCATTAGTAGTGATCATTGCTTTGATGCAGTCCTGGGCTTCGTCTCACAAAGAGTTGATATCAATCGCAACTTATTTGCGATAGCAAATATGTACATAAGAGACTGGAGCATTAGAGACTGGAGCATAAGAGACTGGAAACCTGCGATTGATTTGGATCAAAAGCAACTCTTTGTTAAACGGGGCCCATGTTCGTTATTGAAATAATTATGATGATAACAAAAGCAAGCGAAAACAAAATAAAAGCAAAGCAAACAAAATACCGTAACAAAAGCAATAAACAAAAACATACCATGCCAACATTTTTCCCACTAAATTCTTGAATACAGTGGATATTTATAAGTCATAGTGAGATATATTAAACGTTTATATGAAATGTATTACCTCGTATCGGTCTTTGTACTACATATATTGGGACAATCTGAGTTCTTTTAAATGGAAGGAAAATATTTGGTTAAACAGCACAGCTTCGAGGGAAAAGCCATAATGAAGACTTCTGATATTCCCAAGACAAAAAGGAGGATGAGGAGGAGACGAAGAAGAAGAAGAAGAAGAAGAAGAAGAAGAAGAAGAAGAAGAAGAAGAAGAAGGAGGAGGAGGAGGAGGAGGAGGAGGAGGAGGAGGAGGAGGAGAAGGAGGAGGAGGAGGAGAAGAAGAAGAAAAAGAAGGATAGGGAGAAGAAGACGAAGAAGGAGAAGGAGAAGAAGAAGGACAAAATACAAACAAAACAAGGGAGGTTGTGGTGTGGACGATTACCTTTTGAAATACATCGTAACAATTTGCTCATGGTAGAGAGTCGAATTTCTATTGCTTTTCCCGTTAAAAATTATATCGTCAATTCAAACAGGGTGACTCCGTCAAGAAGTTGCATTTTAAACAACGCTCAGATGATAAACCAATGTGAAATGGTAAATGTCAACATATATACAATTCATTATTTCCAATCTCTACCTTAGTAACAAGTTAACAAATTGGGGTTGACAGACTTCGGAATCAGAGAGAGAGAGAGGGAGACAGAGAGAGAGAGAGAGAGAGAGGGAGATAGGGAGAGAGAGAGAGAGAGAGAGAGATACGAAGGGGATAAAGCAATGCTACATATACCGCGAAAGATCATCTTCGACGGATGGAATAGTGTCATACTGGTCCTCAATAACACCGCCCGTAGGATACTGCTGTGCTTGTTGGTCGTAACCATACGAATTATCCAAATCATCTTCATAACCATAGTTACGGTAATCATGGTCACGGGCAGCAGCATCCTGTATTCCTTGGCCGTAGTCTTCTGGGAACTGTTGATTCTGATACACTGACTGGTTAGGCTCTCGATGGTTGTACGTTGGCTGACTAGGCTCTTGGTTGAGGTAAGTTGGCCGATGAGGTTCTTGATTTTCGTACGCCAGATGATAAGGATTTTGATTCTGGTACGCTGGTTCGTCAATCTCTGAATTCTTGCCCGCTGGCTGGTGAGGCTCTGGATTCTGATACACTGGATGAAGGGGGTCTTCATTCGGACGTGCCGGTTGGTAAGGCACATGGTGAACGTCCACTTCGGCAGCTGGGACGCCCTCTTCGACGGACCCAACGACGTTGCCCTTGAAGCCATCATCAGCTGGGAAGTGACTGCCTGGCTGACCACCAGTTTGGGCTTGTGAGTAGTTATGGTTCACGTCATGACTGTCCTTCAGGTTGTCAGGTAATCTCATCTGCTTGTGTTGGACATCGGCATGTTTCACCCACTGTTTAATCCCGCCTCGCGCCTTCCCACCATTGGTTTCAACGACGGCCATTGCAGCGGCGGCGTTCCAATCATTCACCGAGCTTGTCGCGTCTTCGTCTTGCTCGAACCCGAGGTTATCTAGATCCCGTATGGATTCCGTTTTACCACTTCCCTTATCATCGTCGTCCTCGTCATCGTTCTCATCATCCGGGAGTGTAAAGGTCCGTTTCTTATCTCGTGGCCATTTGAAGTTGATGATTTGGGCCACGACGGCCATGAAGATAAGACCTCCTGTGATGATGACCGCAAGCTCTGCTCTCTCGGTCCACGGGTCGTACAGCGTCTGGATCTTGTCGGTGCACGTGGACTCTTCACCATCTATTATCTCAGTTCCATTCATCAAAATCGGCGTTATGCAACTTCTATATAACTCCCAATGCGTCACATTTTCACTGACGGTATATGACGTATTAACCCCTTCTATTTCGACTTCATGGACGACCTGCAGATTGCTGGTGAGACTGGTGATGATTCGGCATCCCCATGGATCGTATTCATCGTCGGCATCAATCACCCACTGCCAGTTTAGCGTGAAGAAATCCCTTCCGATGTCGGTTGCCATCACGTTGTCGATGTCATCATAGCCACTGACACACGTAGTCGACATCAAAGTGAATGTCATGACAAAGAGAAACTGGAATACTCGTGGAGAAGCCATAGCTGTTACCCAGTCTCTAACCTGCAGACAGATTTTAGTAATAAAAGAACCCACAAAAAAAAAACATATCAATACGATAAATATGAAAACATGTTTAACGGCTTTCTCAATCACTAATGTCGATAGTGAATCCATTGAATTTTATAATCCATCGACTCATCGAGACTAATTAAAGATAAAAAATAACTATCCCCGAGATAAGCACAACTGATTCTGTAGTTCATGATTCCTTAAACAGTTTAGTTTTACATAGTCGAAACATTTTCGCAGTTTGATTCAGTAGGCTAAAAAAATGCTTTATTTCCCCTTTTTTAAGGTAATATGATGTCCGCAACTTATTTTGGCCTAGAACAAACTGTTATAATAACATATCGTATTGTATAAAATGCATTTTTATGATGTGACTTTTGACGTTATTAATTTTTTTTTACAAGTAGGCCTAAATATGCATGGGGGGCGTCAATGACATGAATTAACTACAAAAATAGACAAAATGAAGACAGAATCAGTTCACTTCTTTCATCTTAGTTTTTGAAAAGTTGATCCTTATTAGTCAAGGTATAGACCCTATTAAAATAAAATGTTTGAATGTGTCACGGGAAAAAAGGACTCAATCGGCATAGGGTTTATGCTAAAGAAATTAAAATATACAACTTACCTTTTTGGATCTAAAAGATATTGAAGATTTCGACCCACGAAACTCATCAGTAAAAAAAATGACAGCCCAACATATATACTAGCTCAGGCTCCCTTTTTTAGAATAATCCGGTTAATGATTCATCTATATTTTCTCTCAAACTTTACAAATAGAGGCCACGTAAAATGTGAGCTGAAGACGTTAGAAGAAGGACAACAACAAAAAATCGGCATATGCTCTGCGTAATAAAGTAATGGTTATACACAATAAAAAGCAACTTCATATATCATGGTGTACGTTAGTCTCTACTAAAACCCGGACGCCGTCTAGTGTTTAACCAATTAGTTCAAAGTACAAAGATATACTTCTTGGTTGTATAAATGCGTAATACGCTAAAAGCAAACATTTCTTGGATTAAGGACTGCCTTGCGTCAATATAGACAGATATTATGATCAGTAAATGCTATGAAATATTAAATCTGGGCGTTTGAGGGTTTTTCCTCTTATCATTGGTCGAGACGAAACAGTAAAACAGGAGGTAGAACAATGCACTTTAATTGCTTATACTTAAATGTGTATAGGTGTACAATTGTCGTTTGGCCTTAGGATAAATCTTGATTCAGTACTGTAAAAAAGAAAAGTTCGTTCAAGGATTATATCCTTGTTTTAAACGACTATATTTAGATGGAGTCTCCAATAATTTCATGAAGGAATAGCTTTGATAATTCATGATATTTTTATGAAGTTACCTTAAGGATACATCTGTTTGTTTGTTTTGTTTTGTTTATTTGTTTTGTTTGTGTATTTAAGGAATGGAAAGCTGATTAATACGTCTTTTCTGGCTAATATGGTCAGTTGTACGTTCGTTTATAAAAAAAAAAAAAAACATTTGTAACAACCTTGAATTCGAAGGAGGATCATCCCATCCCGGCCTGCGTATAGACATCGGCGGACCACGAGACTGACAGCCAACAAAATAGACGGCTCATAATAAAGAGACCACGAAGCTCTCTCCCTCCCTCTCTCTCTCTCTCTCTCTCTCTCTTTTCTCTCTCCCTCTCTCTCTCTCTCTCTCTTTCTCTCTCCCTCTCTCTCTCTCTCTCTCTCTCTCTTTCTCTCTCTCGTTGTGTCACTCACTGTTTGTCTGTCTTTCCGTCTATTTCAGTCTCTTTCTTTTTGTCGGTATGTCTATCTCTCTATCTCTGTCTCTCTTATCTGTTCGTCTCTTGATCTCCCTCACCCCCCCTCTCTCTCTCTCTCTCTCTTACGTTCTGTCTGTCTCTGTCTGTCTGTGTGTAAGTGTGTGTCTCTCTCCCTCTCTCTCTCTCTCTCCCTTTGTGCCACTCACTGTTTGTCTGTCTCTCCGTCTCTTTCTCTCTCTCTTTCTGTCACTCACTGTTTGTTTGCCTCTCTCTCTCTGTCTCTCTTACTGTCTGCCTCTGTCTGTTTGTCTCTCGATCCTCCTCTCTTCCTCTCTCTCTCTCTCTCTCTCTCTCTCTCTTACTCGGGAGACACTTTCTTCCGGTCTAAATGTCTATTGCACTACAAAGACCTGTTAACAATTAATAACCACGCTCAATAATTAAGCTACACATGTCACCAAATTAACTCGAATAAAAATTTCAGCTTTATTTGACATTTTCGAGAAAAAAATTATGCCATTCAGAACCATACAGAAAAGTATTAATGTTTAATATCCATATCCTGACATCATGTATATTTTATTTGGCTATTGGAGTAAGTATGCAATCTTATGTCACATTCTTCTCCTTCTCTCTCTCTCTCTCTCTCTCTCTCTCTCTCACACGCACACACACCCACACACACACACACCACCACACACACACACACACACACACACACACTCTCTCTCTCTCTCTCTCTCATATACACCTTTTTTTCCCTGACCGAATAAAATCCGCGATTGCTAGCAATTTATTGTAAACTTCAAACGATCTATAGTGTGTCTATAGTCCGTAATAAACCGAATATTAGCGACATTTAAAAAGATTAATATGAGTTTACAAATACTTTTCAACATATCTTTATCTGTGACAAAGTATCCATCTTTTACCCACTTTCCCTTTCACATCATCACATCACATCAACAATAAAATATATAGTACTTAATGATTTTATTAGTAGAAATGTTATGTTTTTCGTTGGGCGTCGATGACATAGGTCAGGTATCCTATGAAAGTCGCAATGGGTGGTTCTCTAAGGCCATGACGACATGTAGGTTACTTTCTGATGAGAGCAGCCATGATGGCAACCAAGCCGATGATGAGCATTCCCATTGATGAGAGCTGACTGCCATGGTTGTTGGAGACTGCAAGTAAAGCATAGTATATAGAGACTTATAAGATGATGACGTGGATCCTAATCAAATGATAGTTGAAATAGTTGAAATAGTTTAAAAAGTTGAAATATTTATTGGTTACTGAATCATCATAGGTTATAACAATAATGTGACAATGTCTTTACATGAGTATAAAACATAAGTTAAATTACATTTCCACATTCAGTAAATCATAGATACATACGCTCGAAGAGGTGATGATACAGAAGGGCTACAGCCTAAGCGTGACAGCTTGATACGCTTGCAGCCCAGAAACATTTAAAATCATAACGATTGTAAAGTAAAGTAAATTACAAAACATAATTGGGGGAAAATAACAAAAAATAAACAGTGACTTGCAACCAAAAAAATGATTGGTTGAAAGCGTTCACGTGACCAGGCAATTATTTTGCCTAAAGCGTAATTTGGATGATGACCGGTCATTAACCAATTCTAAAGACCGGTCATTAGTAAAATCATTTCACTGCTGTGTATTATTTGTATAATAACAAATGAATACATCTGGGAATTAACTTTTCAAAATAAAAATTGAAACGGTCATTTGCACGAGTTTGGTAAACTCCCAACTCATGACTAAACTTCGAATTCCCTTTTGACAGCAGTCACACTCGGAGTAAATCCTGAAACGAATGCCCTTGTGTTAGGTACGGCTTATAAAATATACGATAAATATTAGAACGAAAGTGAAGAATAGGTGGAGAAAGGGAAAAAAAGAAAAGATAGTAAAAAGAAGTGTATAGACTACAAGGGCCATCGAAAGTATAAAGTCAAACCTGCTATAGGGACCACCTGTCTACAAAGGCCACATTTGTTGCTTCCCTTGAAAATGGTTTCGCATTGAATCATGTACAAAGGGAACCTGTTTACAAAGACCACCTGCCTCCAAAGGCCACTTTTAGTGTTTCCCTTGGGCGGTCGCTATAAACAGGTTTTACTGTATTTGCGATCCTGTTTACACTGGGGTAGTTCGAAATTGGCTGAAGTCAACACGTTTTGCTTACCCTGCGCCCCCGAGCCGGAACCTGTAGATCCATCACCAATGACGTGGTAGAGCGAGAGCGTTCCACTTGCGGCACCAGCCACCATCAGTAACGGCTTGTCCGTTGGGCTCCGGTCCGCTGGTACAAACCTGGGGGAAGGGGGATAAATAATACCATGAATTTTGCAGTCTATTGGCGTATCCAAAGGGGACAGGAGGAAGGGGCGGACATGGCTAAGGTCTAGGGCGTATATATTTTCATCATATATACACTGTACATGTAATCTCTCTTTCCCCTTCCCTTCTCTTGGGTGAGTGTGTGTGTTTGTGTGTGTGTGTTGGATGTGTCCACTTGTGATTATTATTAATGTTTTACTTATAATTTGTTAATTTTGTCAAAGGGGCACCAGTCCACACGATCCTGATCTTTTTTGGTTGCCCCTAACGATATGTTAATTTTACACATGTATATGATTATGTCAATATGTTTTATTGCATTGTACTATTTTCTTTTATATCGTTGAATAGAGATGAATTGAATTGAATTGAATTATACACTGGGATTTATTTACGCCTATACCCTGCAATACCGTATGACCCTTCTGGTATAGTCATGATAGTAAAGTTAATTAGGTCCGGGTAATTTCATTCTTTCCTCCGCCTTTTGTCAGCCTGGTGTCAGTCTGATCGGTAAAACTGAAGTATGATATCCTAGTCACATCGCGAATCCGAATCCGAAACGACTCTTATCAGACCACTATCTTAGCCTTTCGGGGGGTAATATAATTTTTTGTTTTGTTTTGTGTGTGTCGGTCTCTGACGTCGGTCTTGTATGGGCAGTGGCGGATCCAGGGGGTGGGGGGCTGGGTACCCGGCCCCCATGGAAAAAAACTTGTAAAAACACGTTAATTTTACCTTGTGGGGAGATGCCCCCCCCCCCTCCTGGCGCTCAACGGGGGGGGGGGGGGGTAGCGATTGTTCAAATCTTCGAGGGCCAAAAAAAAAAATTAGCGCTCACTACAAAATGCAGCTAAACGACCCCAAAAGAGGAAAATAATTCAAAATGTTGAATGGGATGTAGCATGGTAAATACTGGCCAACGACTTCTACGACTTTCTTTTGGACAACATTATTCCTCGTGGTGCGAGTTCCCCTTGCGAGTTAAGATCATCAAATTTCCTAAATGACGGGACTTACACCACGAGGAATATACTCCTTATTGATTGATTGATCAATTGATTTTTATTCGCCAAGCTTAGAACATACAACAATACATGAAAAATAACAGATCAAATTAAGTCAGCTTGAACAGGGTAGCCCACGATAGCTCGAGAGCTTTTTTTCCATTGGGGTCCCCGACATAAATGTGCAAAATGAAAAAGTTAAAGCAGTAAAATTTATTTACAGACAGATAAGGAAAAAAGCTTATTAAAGATAATAATGAAGATAATAATAATAATAACAACATTAAACTGATGAAAGACATAATAATAAGAACATGAAGAAAAAGAGGAGGAGGAGGCAGGTGCGTCGCTAAAGGGGGGGGGGGGTTGTGGGGTGTGTGTAGGGGGGTGCGACACCCCCACCTGTCAGGATATTGTCGGTAAAATTGCGCTGCCGTCGGGGAAAATGAAAAAAGGGTGAGGGGGAAAATGAGAGGGAAGGGGAAAAAGAAAAAAAAGAAAAGGAAAAGAAAGTAAAGAGAAGAAAAGAAAGAAAGAGAAAAAAAGAAGAAGAGGAAGGAGAGTAAAGAAAGGAAAAGAAAGAAAATGAGAAAAGGAAAAGAGAAACGGGAAGCAAAACGGGGGATAAAAGAGAGGAGAGAGGGGGAAGAGCCTGAAAAGGAGGGATGGGAGTAAAAGATAGAGGGGGTTGGCATATATTTTCGACCCCCGCCCCCTCCTTCCCCACAAAAAAGAGACAAAGGTTTCCACTTGCTGGACGGAATGCCCAGATCACTACATGACGTGATTTCATTTGCATCGCAATGCTCATCAGGACCGACTCACTGAGCTAGAGATAAAATATGAATTACTATTGTTTGATTGGTTAGCTCTTGGTTATAAATGTGAATTTTCCTCTGGTTTCGTTTTTTGATCACATAGGTCGACTAACGTACACCTGGGGGGGGGGGTGGTGGGGGGCGTTTCATAAAACAATTAGTCGGTGGTTTTCACCGACTAATATCATGTTCACTGACAATTTAGTCAGCGCTGACTAAATTTGACCAATCACAGGCCTGGAAAATAGTCGGTGACAAAAGAATTGTCGGTGAACCGACTAATTGTTTCATAAAACGACCCCAGGTGCTCTCTCAATAGGGAATTTGAGATTTGCACCTCGACATAGTGGACTGCCACGTATGACGTCCTTCATTTTAAGGCACTGCGACGTCCTTTTAAGGCACTGACAGTCATTACACGTTCTTGAAGGGACCTTTAACGTCACTTGTTGCCTGTTACTTTTATCTGAACTGTGTAAGATTAAGTGTGAATCCTTTAGTTTTAGCTCGGATATAATTTGATAAGTATTTCTGAGGAAAGGACTCGAAGCTCCATTCTACGATTCATTTCGCATTTAGCAGGAACTAGGCAAGCAGTGAGTATAATACTACATTTTTGACTCGTTACTTACCTCTTGATTGTGTTGATCCAAGCAATATAGCCACTATAATAAGCTCATCGGAATAGAGCTACATACAATCTATGTATATATTGCAGAAACCCTAATCCTTAGTAAATATATAGACAATTTGACTTAATGTTATTATTATTGTGAGAATGATGAGAAGGTGGACTATATCCACATTGGCATGTCTTAAGTTTATTAGGTCTATACCTGGGCAGTGATAAGTCATTTTGGCACCGGTAACGTTTGGAACATCATCTTGTTCGAAGCGATTCCCCCCAAATCCCCATAGGATAATTGACTTTGTATTTTTGAACCTAGAAAAGGTCTTTCCGTTGAAGATTTGTAGTTGTTGTTGCTGTAATGGTCATGGTGATGATTCGTGATCTCATATCGTTAGAGAGCAATTTCTACATTCGGGCAAAGTTTTGAGCCCAATGTTCAATGTTGATGCATGATATATAGGTGTATTCCCAACTTTTTAAGGGAGTAGGATTCACTTATAATGTTTATTTTGTAATTTAATATCATGTTAAGGCACTAAAGGTCAAGTAAAGATCGGAATAGTTATCATGGAATATCGACAATTGATAATGTTTTACTGTCGTTACTTATTATGTGTTTACAATACTGGATGGTCTCTTCAGTACATGAAAACTGCTTTGCAAGAAAGCCCTGTATTACACAATTCAATGTTAAACAAGATATTTAACAAAGGCCAATAATTATAATTCGTAACCCCCCCCCCCCCCCCAAAAAAAAAAAAAAAAAAAAAATACATTGAGTTCGGTTAAGAATGTACATTAATTAAAAGCAATAAAATATCACAGAGGGTAAAAGTGAAAATCAGACTCTTAGAAGTAAGTCTTGTTTGGGTTGATGAAAGTGGTCTATGACGAGTGGCATATGAAGGGATATTTGGATTTTTAATAAACATATTACTGTGTTTCAAAATGTTATGTCTTACAGAGTACATACAAATTAGAGTATTGAATGTAATCAAATCATTTAAAGGCAAGATTTGCATCTGTTAAAAGAGTGGTATACTTGGAATTTGCATTTGTGAATTTGTTATATTTCTTAAAGACTTTTTCTGTAAAACATAATTTGTCAGGTGTGATTTATAAGTATTTCCCCAAATATAGTTGCAGTATTTTAGATGTGGTAAAAACAAGGCTATTGTGCAGAATATATAAAACATTACTAGGCAATATACATGTTTAGTTTAGAAAGGATACCAACATATCTAGCAAGTGTCTTAGAAATTTCTAATATATGCATATTCCAATCCAATGACTCATTAATTGTAACACCGAGAAATTGTACATTTTTCAAATTAGATATAACAAGATTATCAATAACAACAAAGACTAAATTACCGGGCACCTTCCTATTTCAAGACCTAAATATGACTTTATTTGTTTTAGTAACATTCAAAGATAATTTGTTTACTTTCAACCATAAAAGAATTTTTTGAAATTTCCCTGTTACTTTACTGATGAAACAAGCATGTGTATATTACTGTTATTCATGAGAGCACATGTATCATCAGCAAACAGGGATAACTTTAAAAATGAAGAGGATTTAATCATATCGTTGATTTATATATAAGGAACAAAAGAGGGCCCGGTACAGAACCTTGGGGAACACCACAATAACTCTGTTGTACAGAAGACTTGACACCACTGACCATCACATACTGTTTTCTTTCAAAAAATTAGTTTTCAAACCAACTTAATGCAAGACCTCTAATACCATAACAGTACGGCTTTCTCAACAATATGTGGTGTTCAATGGTGTCGAATGCTTTTGATAAGTCCATAAAAAGTCCAATGCAAAAATTACCCTTTTTAATTTCATTTTGTATATGATTACACAAATTTGAAACAGCCAAAGCAGTTGACTTTTTTTTCTAAAACCAAATTGTTCATCAATCAAAATATTATTTAACTGTAAAAAAACTATATAAACGTTCTTGAATAATTTGTTCTAGAATTTTTTAAAACAAAGAAAGAAAAGAAATGGGCCTTTAAAGGTAAAGACCAGTATTGGAAACGCCCTAATTTCAAAAAATGAAATGGAAGCTCTCATTACCAATCATGTGAAAGCATATGTTTTGACTAATACATGATGATAAAAAATTTGCCGGGAAACCACCTACTAATTCATATATTTGGTAAATTTGTTTCTCTCATGGTCTGTGAGAGATATAGGGTAGTCCCATATACATCTTTCTGTGTATAGTGCTTGTAACTTTACTAAGAATGGGCCAAATTTCTTATCATTTTGATGATTCCAGAACCTTGCAGATGCTAGATGCTAGATGATCAACCTTTTTGATCGATTCCACAACGTTTCTTTCACAATGCAATCGCATGACCATAACTGGTCTTTACCTTTAATTGGTCATGTCATTTGATCAACATTAGCTAATTTTAAACCGTTAGGGATAGTTTCTGTACATTAAATATGTAGCATAATGGTTCAACAAAGTGAAAAATAATACTCTTAATCACTTTAGGGTCTATACCATCAGGTCCATTTGATTAAGAAGCATTTAAAGAAGAAACTGTTTTCAATATTTCATAAACTGAAGTAGGTTTTAAAAATAATGAGTTTGGAGATTAATTTCAAGTAAGAATGATTCATATGAGACATTAACAGGTGGAATATTTTTGCTGATATTCCTACCAGTGTTTAAAATAATTATATGAATAGAGGGACATGCAGGTCTTTTACTGAACATGAAACATACAGAGCGTCTGGAATAAACCACCACACAGAACACACCACAGTTCTGCAAGCTTCATTATGTTATTATGTCTGTCTGAGCTTTCTCGTATACTAGTTAAGCCAGGAATGTTTGTAACGAGGCGGAACGGAGTAAACCCCTAAAATAGACATGCTAGTTACACTTCAAGTTCCCAAACAGTTTTCCATTGAAATTATACTCTAATGAATCTATTGGACAAACATGTTTTTGAGCTTCCGAGCATCCACGCTCCTTAGGCAGGGGCGTCGCTAGAACTTTTTCAGTGGGGGGGTGTAGAGGCCAACGATTACCGACAAAAATAGCCACCAATTACCCGACAAAATTAAATGTCCAATATCTACAAATTCAACCCTATGAACCTGGGGCCGAAGGCTAAATTGTTTTTCCTATGGACTATCTATAGTACTTGCATATACGCAAAATGGTAATTTCCTCGACGACATAAGTATACGAATTATTTCTTCAATTTAGTCAGCATCATAGCTATAAATTTTAATGCAGGCGCGGAGCAAGGATCTTACTTTAGGGAGGGGCGGTAGTGAGCAAGAGAATCACTTAAAAGCGCGCTCATTAGGGGGGTGTGGGTGATGGTTGAAGCTTAGACGTTTCATCACAATATAGAGAAAGGAAGACGATTAATTGTCCCGTTTTCGACTGTTAATCCTTGGCTGAATGAAGATCCCCCCCCCCCTCCCGCGCGAAGCGCGAAAGCTATGACGTTTTTTTAATTAAATCATTATTAACAAAAAATAAGCCCTTTTCATCTGAATTCAGTTTCCCCCTCAAAGCTTTGACGTTTCCTCATATTATTAGAGAAAGATCACGACTTGTTGTACCGTTTTCGACTGTAAATAAGCCCTATTAGTTTTGTCTGAATTCAGTTTCCCCCTCTCGCGCGAAGCGCGGAAGCTTTGACGTTTCCTTAAATTTTAGAGAAAGAAGACGATTCGTTGTACCGTTCTCGACTCGTCTAAATGAAGTTTTCCCCTTCCGCGCGAAGCGCGGAATTTTTGGCGTTTCATCACAATATAGAGAAAGGAAGACGATTCCTCGTACCGTTTTCGAATCTTAATTAGCCCTATTCATCTGAATTCGGTTCGCGTAGCGCGAAAGCTTTGACTATTCCTCAAATTATTGGAGTAAGAATACGATTCGTTGTACCGTTTTCGACTTTTAATAAGCCCTATTTGTCTGAATTCAGTTTCCAATTCTCGCGCGAAGCGCGGAAGCTTTGACGTTTCATTAAATTATGAGAAAAAGCAGACGATTCGGTGTACTGTTCTCGACACTTAATCCTTATCTGAATGAAGCTTCCCCCTCCCGCGCGAAGCGCGGAATATTTGGCGTTTCATCACAATATAGAGAAAGGAAGACGATTCCTCGTACCGTTTTCGAATCTTAATATGCCTTATTCATCTGAATTCGGTTCGCGAAGCGCGAAAGCTTTGACTATTCCTCAAATTATTAGAGAAAGTATACGATCCGTTGTACCGTTTTCGACTTTTAATAAGCCCTATTTGTCTGAATTCAGTTTCCCATTCTCGAGCGAAGCGTGGAAGCTTTGACGTTTCATTAAATTATTAGAGAAAGAAGACGATTCGTCGTACCGTTTTCGACTCTTAATAAGCCCTTTTCATCTGAATTCAGTTTCCCCCTCAAAGCTTTGACGTTTCCTCATATTATTAGAGAAAGATCACGACTTGTTGTACCGTTTTCGACTCTAAATAAGCCCTATTAATTTTGTCTGAATTCAGTTTCCCCCTCTCGCGCGAAGCGCGGAAGCTTTGACGTTTCCTTAAATTAGTAGAGAAAGAAGACGATTCGTTGTACCGATCTCGACTCGTCTAAATGAAGCTTCCCCTGCCTCGCGAAGCGCGAAATATTTGGCGTTTCATCACAATATAAAGAAAGAAGACGATTCGTCGTACCGTTTTCGACTCTTAATAAGCCCCATTCATCTGTATTCAGTTTCCCCCTCACGCGCGAAGCGCGAAAGTTTTGACGTTACCTCATATTATTAGAGAAAGATCACGATTCGTTGTACCGTTTTCGACTCAAATAAGCCCTATTAATTTTGTCTGATCTCAGTTTTCCCCTCTCGCGCGAAGCGCGGAAGTTTTGACGTTTCCTTAAATTATTAGAGAAAGAAGACGATTCGTTGTACTGTCTCGACTCGTCTAAATGAATTTTCCCCTTCCCCTTCGAGAAAATACAAGTATTGTAGTTGTAGTCACTCGCGAAGTCGTCACAGCGAATAAGAAGTCGTAGGGAGAGATGTTTATTGTCGGTCGACCGACAATATACATCTCACCGACTTCAAACTTCTGCATTGATATAGTACACGAGGATCGAGCAAGAATACCGACAAAGCTGACCCGACATAGCAACATATTTACCCGTGTCTTTCTTGCTCCCTCGACGAGACGACTCCACCCAACAACCCCCTTCTCTCTTTAACTCCCACTCTCAGACTCTTACCTCCCCTCTCTCTCCTCTCTTTCACCCCCCGTTTCTATTGTTTCCCTTTCACTCTTTTTTCTTTCTTTTTTTCTTTTTTTCCTTTTCTTTCTTTTCCTTTCTTTCCTCTCCTCCCTCTTTTTCTTTTTTCTCTTTCTTTCTTCTCTTTTCTTTCCTTTCTTTTCCTTTCTTTCCTTTCTTTCCTTTCTTTTCCTTTATTTCTTTTCTTTTTCCTTTTCTTTTTTCTTTTCTTTTCCTTTCCCTCTCTTTTTCCCCTCTCTTTTTTCCCTCTCTTTTTTTCCCTCTCTTTTTCCCCCCTCTCTTTTTTCCCCTCTCTTTTTTTCCCTTCCCCTTTCCTCTTTTTCCCGACGCCAGCGCAATTTTACCGACAATATCCTGACAGGTGGGGGGGTGTCGCACCCCCCCACACCCCCCCTTTGGCGACGCCCCTGTCCTTAGGGTACAAACAGTGATCATAATTTCTTTATGTAAAACCTACCAGCGTGAATATACAATGTAATAAATGATTTCAATCAACGTTATTTCCCCGTTATTTCCTTTCAGAGTGTTCCTTTCAAATGTGTTCTTCTTTCTTCTTTTACCCCAGCCGTCGGGCACAGATTTGTGTGGTTTCCAGACAAAGTCACTCTTCCGTCTTTGTCTGTCTCTGCCCCCCCCCCCCTAGCTCGCTCTCTCTCTCTCTCTCTCTCTTTATCCTGTGTGTTAAAATATCCAGGGTCCATGAGTAAACACAAATCCTTTATTTACTCCAAACAAAGAAGAAGAAAGGAAAGGCACTACACTCATTACAAGTTCCCTCACACAATTTTTTCAATCTACAGAAGAAAGGCTGCGAGCAAGGTCACTTGTAGGTAGGTCGCTTGTAGAATCGTCAAATGTTATCAAACATAGAGAGCGTCATTCCTACATGATGTAATGACATAGGTACTTCAATGGCTATATAGTAATTTTAAAGAATATTACAATAATCTCTCTTGCACGTCAACATGGCCAATATGACTATGTCGTTCATACTAATGATCAACTTTAAGCACAATCTTAAGTTTATTCACTCTTCCGCTTCAAGTAAAGAAAGTAATTGCCCTCAATGTCATTGGCAGACTAAAGTATAAGAATTTCCCCCTTGAAAGAATGTCAAAATGACGTCTGGATTCGCTCATTGTATGCTTGGTGTGTTTGGAACAGCAAACATAACACATTTCTCGTATAAACTACACACGCACCTACCCACACATTCTCCTATTTGCTTTTCCGTAATTTGTATTATGACTTGCATCAGATCAGGTACCTACCAAATATCACCAGATTGTGAAATACAGACGCGCGCAGCCTATGTCTTGTATTTCATTTCATACGGGTAATCCGTCACTTCTAAATGAAAATCTGTTGAAACGATGCACATAATTGGTGCAAAGGGGGTCCGTATAATTTTATTCCACGCATCACATATGTCGGCATCGTGGCGAAACCGGGTTCATGACACAGAAACAAACTGCACGTAAACGAATCGGCTTGATTAACGGTCTGCGCCAGCGTTCGCGAACCAAACAGAAGTTCTCATCATGCTTCGGTTCGCGTATGTTGCACGCAATGAATACTGCGGTCGCGTCGTCCGTAGTCATACCCGATTGGCCCCGAGTCAGGCCATGGGAAAGACACGGAGTATGTCAGAAAATAATTACAAGTCCTTTACATATACTCACTCCATGTCTTTGGGGTCGAGATCGCCGAGATCTCGGTCCTCCAAAAGCTGGGCGAATGTCCTGTTGACGCCTCCTCGTCTATGCAGAGACTCGTAGGTGGCCTGGCCGTCCGCCGACACTGTGTAGATCGCGATGACGGATGCCCGGTCGACGCCTAGGAACACCACCGTCTTCCCGTTGACGACGCCGACTTCGATAGTTTCGCATTCGGGTCCCTGGTGTGAACGAGCATTGAAAGTATATTACAAAAAAATGACAAAAATTAATTGTGATAAGGATACCAATATTACCACTCGCCGTGATTATTACCAGTAAAGCATTGCCCCCATTAGATGAGAATGGGGAGGGGGCATTGCCGGGTGGATGAAAGCTATAGTATGAGAAAGGTAATTATAGTATCATCTCATGTATTATATTCCTGAAGATGTCTGGTGCAGTACGTACCTGTTTAGCACTCCAGTATTTATTCTTTGTGAAAAGAATATTGAAAATGATCCTGCATGCGTTTAATCGATTAAATTAAAAATGAATTTGAATAAGGGAGTTTACAAAATAATCTGCGCATATGGGCAGATAAAGGTCATTTGTACCAAAATGGTAAAACCCACAGAGATGAATACTGGATATGCGCTCTTGAAAGTTATGTAACATTATTCATTTATGCACCAACGGTATATATTCTATGAGACGCAGGTGGAGGTATTCTTTTCAAGAGGTCAAACAAAAGGTATTCATGAAGCACATCTAGGACTTTGGCAGTTATTATTCTAAGATGCTCAAAGTGGAACTTCTCCATGTGTAAAAGATCTGTGGATATTTGGGGTCATTTGTACCATGTGCTATCTGTAAGCTCCCTTATTATAATGACCTACCCGATTATCTGATCGCTTATCAGCGATGTCTGGAGGCGATTCTGATTCCGGTCTGTCCGGGTAGGTCTCCGAGTTGAAGACCAAGGGATACTGTTCAGCGATCAAACGTTCGATCTCGTCACCACTGTCATAGACACGTGTTAGATCATCTGCACGCAAGATGGAGAACCCTCGGCCACCGAAAAAGAAGAGTTCTTCTATCTTATCCTCCTCTGTTTTGCTCAAACCATCAGTAACGCTGAACTCGAGACGACCTGTGAAAGAGGGATCATCGTTACTCTTGTTAATACCTTGTCCCAGGAGCGGTTCGAAGAAGAAAAAAATCTCGGGGGGGGGGGGGGACTTTGTAATTCAATATATACATGTGCCTCGTGAAATAAAATATATTTGGGGGCTTAACCCCCTCCCCCCCCCCCCCCCCCCCCCCTCCCACCCCAAAATAAAAACTCTAAAAGTACTATTCTTTATCCACAACCTATTATTTAGTTATGGATAAGTAAGGTATCGAACTTCATCCATATATCTAGGGTTATCTATCTTTAACAAAATTATATTCTCAAAATACTTTTCTTACTGATCATTTTTTAACCCTCTCTAATTAATCACTTTCCACAGGATGTGATGTCCCAAACACGCTTTCCCTCTGCATGATTTTACTCGACCCAATGCAAGATAAACCAAGGAGCTGGTAAAAACCAGACATAAATTATTATTATTTTGTTATTGCTTTTATCATTATCATTATTATTAGTAGAAATATTGTTGTTATTATTATCAATATTATCATTATTATCATTATTATTATTATTATTATTAATAATATCAATATCATCATTATTATCATTATTATTATCATTAATAATATCAATATCATCATTATTATCATTATTATTATTATTAATAATAGCAATATCATCATCATCAGCTCAGATTTTTAAGTTGATACATGTATTATTAAATTTTCCGCTACGCCATTATCATTGCTTCACGTCTAGCATGGTTGTACAATGGCCTAAAGAATAGTTCCCAAAACATTTAATTCAATATTTCAAATTCTGTTAATTTTTTATTTCATATTTTTGCAGAACTGTTTATTCATTTTTCATTGTGAGTTAGTTTAAAGTATGAAGAATCGCTACCGTGCAATATGTGTAACTTTTTTTTCAGTATGTAATATTCTTATAATATTTTGAAGAATAATTTTACCTTATGATTATAACTTGATAATTATAATTTGAATGCATATATATGAACTCAAATTTATTCAGTTGACTTTTACTCAAGCAATACAATATGAGTCTGTAATTACCTAGTCTCAAGTCATCGTTGAGGGCTTCTCTCAAAGCTTGCGACACAGTACTTGCAAGTTGGTTATCTGTTTGAAAAATAATGAAGAAGCAAGGAATATTATTCATGGCACAAATTGAGAGAGAGCATAAATCTAATCACCGAGATGCTTATATCTATGAAAACTTCCCGATTTACACTACATTTTCAGATGAATGAAGCCACTTAACACTGGTGATAAAAAAAAAGTAGTGAAGGGAGAAGAAAGTGTCAACAAAATATTGTCAAATCTTCGGTTTATCATGTTTATATTATATTCTTAGCTCTAGGTCATACAGGTAGAACATAATCCATTTAAGTAATGGTTTTGGAGAGAGCTATCCAATCAAATGCCATTTTAATTCTAGCAACACAGCAACCCTTTTTGGACCTCTACGAAGAACAGAGCCATTTTGATAATGGCTCTGAATAGAGTTTTCCAGCCTTTTTTAATTCTTGATTTGTATTATATTTGTAAATTGTATTCTTGTATGTATTTGATTTTTGTATACGGAAAATAAAACCAACCAACCAACCAATAGCCATGTAGTCAATGTTTAATTCTATGAACATGATGTCAGAAAAAACCGAAAGATTTCGCGAGTACCCCTCTACTAAATTATAGTTTGATTACCCATAGAAGCCTCATCAGTATCAACTGAGAGTGGCAAATATGGAATAATGCCTTGTCAAAAGACGTTAGTGTCGGACTGGGATTCGAACCCTCAACCTTTGGATTGATATTAAGTGAACCACTCTACCGCAACACCAGAATCCACCTATGAATTTTCAATCGCTCACCATCGTGTATGCTCTCTCCTCGTCGTGCGTCACCCCAGTAAGCGCGGTCGAATCGGTAGTCGAGGTCGCTTCCCTCATCGGCCGTGGCAACATAGCCGACGCCGTCGATCTCGAAGTACTTGATAGCGTCGGGCATGTAGAAGCTCTTGATGTCGTGCCCGGTCTGGAATTTGATAGCTGTCAGTTGAAATTAAGAGAAAATGCATTACAAGGTACGTTTCCTCGAAACCACATAAGTGTTCGTCATTATACTTTTTTAAAGCTGCAGGATACCAGTGTGAATTACGTATAACTTGTAAAGTCTTAGGAAACAAAAAGAACCTACTGAGCCATATTGCGTGTTTGAACCAAAATGTCCTTGATGGCCTTTATGACATTACAGTAACATTATCGACTTGTCAATAAAATCCAATTTTGAACTGCGATTTCTTCTATTTTTCTTTTTCGAGTCATACTCTGATTTTCTGCTGTTCATTGGGAAAGGCTATATTAGTCCTGAGACGAGTGTTTATGGGTTTGCCTGTGCTGAAGCAAATGATTTAACGAACTTGTGGCTCAAAAGAGACCATGTTACTCTATATTTTCATTTATAAATATTTGATTTCCTAATAATGCGCGATGGCTCAGTGGTAGAGCAGTGGTCTCGTTACCGGGTGGCCCTGGGTTCGAAACTAAGCCGATACACTCTTGCCCTTCGGTAAGGCATTCTTCTTGTTACCAAGGCCCTCGGATAAGACGGAAAGCCGTTGGTTCCCTGGTTGCTTACTTACAATCATACGCATGTTTTCCTAGCAGTCAGGTAAAACAGACAAACAAACAAACATAAATTAACACTTTATACCGTCATCTCTGTCGCTGGCATCCAGTTGAAGGTTGGCCCAGCTTTTGTTTCCCAGCGGAACGATCTCTACAATCAATTCCGTGTCCAGATCCAGTAAAGCAATCGCATTGTTTTCCTAAGAAAGAATAACAAAACAAAATCCTTAAAGGAAAATAATCAGTACACTATTCGTTCGTTCGTTCGTGCACAGAATATCACGGGTACATCATCTAGATAGGAAGATCCTTCTTAAGCCAACTGATTGTCTCATCATCGAGCTCACGAAGTCCGGAAGCGCCGTGGGGGATTTGTAGATCGGACAATCATCAATGACATGATCCATAGTTTGGATCTCTCCACAGGCGCAGTTTCGTGATGATTCAGCTCCAATTTTATGTAGGAAATATTGCTATTGCTACTTTCGAAAATAATAATTTCACTAAGGGTGATTCCAATACCCTAATTATCCCTTAGAAACCATGCTTGGATTGTGTAATACGTCTTTGTCATGTTCGAAAGGTGATTGACAGGGAAACTGCATTAAGTTGATTCTCGACAGTCTTTGCGATCGTCTTCAATAAATTAACCATTCATATATCAATATACGACAAATAATAGGTGAAAGGGTGAATAGATAGCCAGGACAAAGTCAGTCGCTCCTAGTCGCTAAGCCTCTGAAAGCTAGAATCTTCTACAGACCCCCATTTACATGTTACTCGGTCAAAGGTCTAGCTAAACCAGTCAATTACACCGTTGGTATAATATAAATAAATACATACATTTTATTCATTAACTAAAATACTGAATGAAAAAAATTAGAAACAAATAAACAATAGGGTATAATCCAATTATTTCAAGGCGAAACCGAGGCGTGATCGTATTTAGCGGAGTCGAAATGCATAACCCCATATTTTGTATACTTTTAATTGCATTTTCAACAAAATACTGAGCGTTTTGTGCGAAAACAGGCACATTACAAGCTCTTGATATAACCCTATTTTGGGACATTGAGTACAGATTTACAAAAGCACACTTTTTTTTGGCAAAGATGGGTAGGCTTACATACGCATTATAAATGTTCGCTAACATCGTGAAGTATGATTTTTTTTTTTGTTGCGGGGGGGGGGGGTGGTGTGAGAGTTGCGTACTCTTTCAAAAAATCATACTCTTTTTCTTTTATAACTCTGCGAACATCCTCGAACTTTTCCCTTTTCAATGCAAATTTTCTTAATATCTTGCGTGAAGTCAATATGAAGGGATAACAACGGTTAAGGGATCATGTCACAAACCTGAAGATTCACGTAGGCAACGTTGTCACGGGGGTTGATAGCGATGTATTCTGGCTCCACACTCTGTGACAAAGTCTGTGTCGTGAAGTTCGTATAGTGACCGTTGTAAGGAAAACGCACGCCTAGGTTGGAATATTTTTGACGCCTGTGTAAATAATGATGATAATTATAAAAATCATACTTTCATGGCACATAACACTAGAAAGTCTCTATGCGCTTTATAAATATGATACTAAAGAAATTTAACTATTCTACTGTAAAAGAATAATTATACAAGTAAAGAAAAGGAAAACTTGAGACAGTCATAAGATAAGATAAACCAATAGTGGTACAAATAAAAGTCTATGAAATAGAAACTGAGAGAATACAGGAAGAAAATTAAAATACGTTGATTAGGAGAACTGTCTGACAATGTTACAATTATAATAAAAATAATAATAATAATAATAATAATAATTTAATAATAATAATATCTGTCTGTCTCTCTGTGTCTCTCCCTCTCTCTACGACTTATTCTTTACTTTCTCCGGCATTCAGATTGGAGTGGGGGGCACATACCCGTCCCCGTAGCCCATTGATGCTAAAAAAATGACCTTGGTTTGTTCAATATCGACGATCTCTTAATTACCTTTCATCGAAATCGTTGAAATTAACGGCCTTGAAACCAAAGCTCGGATTGGCGAAGTCCCCGTCGATCTTGATGATAGAAACCATTCCTTCCGGGTTAACAAAATTTTCTTCCGCTGCGTCGTCACCGGCTGTTCCTTCATCGGCGGTCAAGATCTTACGACAGTCGGGGGTAAAGGTCAACATCTCTGGCTGGCTGCTGACTATTAGGGGAGAGAATACAAGAATAGAGTAGAAGTAAGGATATCTGCACGAATGTATTTGAATTGTACAGCAATTTGATGCAGCAAAGTAAGATAGAAAGAGGGGTGGTCGAAGATTTTTAAGACATCAGTTGGATATGGCAAGGAACCCCCCCCCCCCTCCCTTTTCTCTCATCTGAACAATGTTATCAAGTCCCTTTAATAGACTATCAACGTCACCACCACTATAACAAATACACTTCGGCACAGACGTACACCTAAATATCACGCATACGCGCACACACACAATCCCACGCACATACGCACGTTCTACCTTTACAGGAAAGAAAACAAAATATAGTGAGTACATAAATGACACACTTACTGACTCGCTCATGTATTTTTGTGAATTCTTGGGTCTGGCGATTGAACTTCTCATAAACGTGGATGGTTCCAGGCTCCTGCGAATCCGACCCTTGGAGGAGATAGGCAACGAACCGACCACAGTGAGCGATGTCGTTAGCGCGTTCAGGTATGGTGTGCTTGTAGACGATCTCGGGTTTCTCGACGTTATCGTAGTCGATAATCTGCAGATAGTCATCACCTGGCAACAAGGTATAAACGATACGATCGATGTCATGCTATGAGTGGTTCGGCCAGCTTGGCTATTAAAGAATTCGATGGCCAAGGCAAAGACTTTCGAGAAATCAACTCCAGGGTAAGATCAATATCTCATAGAAATCATTTTTGGACTCCGTAATACTTCAAAGTTTTGTTTGGAGATTTCATTATATGTTATGGACAAGGCTATTGTAATTGCCTAAAGCTGATTTGCCGTTTGGGTTTAAGGTATTGTTATCCAGTAGCTGACCGTAAGAGCACTATTTTTTGTTTGAGTGAACAAAATAAAAAAATTAAAATAAGAAAATAAAGTCGCGTTATGACTGCTGCTGTTGCTACGACTACTCCTATACTACTACTACTACTACTACTACTACTACTATTACTACTTCTACTACTACTACTACTACTACTACTACTACTACTACTACTACTACTACTACTACTACTACCAGGCACGTAGCCACGGGGGGGGGGGGGGGGGGGCACGGGGGCACGTTCCAAGATCGGTTGAACTTTTTTTACCCCTTTTTTGACCTCGATCGATTACATGTATGTGCCCCCCCCCCAAAAAAAAAAAAAAAAAAAAAAAAATCAAACTCTAGCTACGTGCCTGACTACTACTACTACTACTACTACTACTACTACTACTACTACTACAACTACTACTTCAACCACTAATACTATTCCCACTCCTCTCCCTTCCACTCCTCCTCCTCCTCTAGCTCCTTTCCATTGTCCTCTCCCTCCTCCCACCTCCTTCCCTCTCCTTACCGATCACGTAAGCGAATCCTTCAAGGGCATCGTAGGCGACTTGCTCCACGGCGTCGGAGTCGATGTCGTACCTCGGCGATGATAGGTAAGAGTAGGGGACGTAGATCGTCGATAAGTGTTCTAGGTGAATCGCCGCCTCAGTCAATGAGGAGAGCGCCACCAGCGTCGTGACAAGAACACATGTCAAAAGCCTTGAGGGTAGCATCTAGAATTAGGGGGAAAGAGAAGAGGAGAGACGTAGAGAAGGGAAGAGAACAGCACAGAAGAGTAAAGGGATGAGAAGTTAGAAGAGCAATGAATATGGAAAAGATAATTGTACAGAAGAGAAGAGAATAGATAATGAGAAACAATATAGAGGGGAAGATTAGAGTGGAGAGAAGAAAACATAAGATGGAAAAGTATATAAATAACAGTATAAACAGAAGAGAAGAGGAGTGACAATTGTAGAGTCAAAGGAATGATCAAATATGTAAAAGAGAAGAGAAGAAATGGGGGGGGGGGGTCTCAAAATTTGAAAATTTGACAGTTTGCTCCGTTGGGGTTGGGGTAAGGTCACCTCTTTTTTTAGGTCAGCCATTGGCATTTTTATTTTTTTTTTGGATTAAAAATTAAAAAAAAAAAATCACAAGGGGGGGGGGGGGGGGTCTGCTCCAAAATACACACATAAAAAAAACTGAAGGGGGGTACCCCCCCCCCCCCCTTGCGTACGCGCCTGGCTGTGAAGGCAGTATGCTGAGCATATTTCACTCTCCTTTATTAATTTCCTTCCTTCTCTCTATTACAGCTGGCTGCATAGAGAATTAAGGACATATTTGTGATGCCAAATTATGCCAATGGCTGATCTAAAAAAGGTGACCTTACCCCCCCCCCCCCCCCCCCCAACGGAGCAAAATGTCAAATTTTCAAATTTTGAGACCAAAAAAGAAAGAAAAGTGTCATCTTACTTATCTATTGGACTGTGAGAGATAAACGCACGTGTGCGTAGTCCCATATACACCCTTTTGTGAACAGTGCTTGTAACTTTACGAAGACTGGGCCAAATTTCTTATCATTTTGATGATTCCAGAACCTTGCAGTACACACCAATATTTATATGCTAGATGATCAACCTTTTCTGATCGATTCCACAACGTTTCTTTCACAATGCAATCGCATGACCATAACTGGTTTTTATCTTTAATTCTCTATGCAGCCAGCTGTCATAGAGAGAAGGAAGGAAATTAATAAAGGAGAGTGAGATATGTTCAGCATACTTCCTTCACAGGTTCACATGTACAGCCATTAGTTGACGTTGGAAGTTGTTTCTAAAACGAAACGTTTTAAGACATGCTTGAGGTTTTAACAGTATCACAATGTTTGATATATTCTAGCAGTTGATTCCAAATCTCTGCTTATGCAACCGGAAAAGGTCGTGATTTTTATATTTGTATTTATTTGAGGGATAGTAAGGAGAAAATTTGGGGAAGCAGTTCAGTCAAATATGTAGGAGCCTTGAGCATCAATTACTTTTTTTTCAAGTGGTAAAGTGTACGATAAGAATGCAACGGCACGAACTCAGAGACATGGGGATGCTCTTGCTCAAAAAGGTAGCTGACTCTTCAGAATCTACCATAGCAGATTGTGATCTGCTTGTAATATAATATACGAATGTACCCTTTTAAAGCCTATCTGCACTAGTTTGGCCAGGAGGGATTACACCTCCATGCATGGTTACTGACGGGTGGTTATCTCATCAAATCCGCTCTCAACTAACGTAAGAAAAGGGGGGGGGGGACCAACGGTCACCGCTTAGGCATTGTTGCTATATAGAGGGCGCGAGTAGTCACGATCAAGTCATCAAAAAATCACGAAAGAGGGCTGTCTCACGACTGTGATTAGTGCGATATGCAGACCGAGTCTGTGTTACTCTGCCCATACAGAGAATTGCTCGTAAACCCATAACCTACTGGTACCGGATGTTCCATGTGTTAAGCCTTAGTGAATGAGAGAGCTCAGTAGTCAACAGGTTAAGTTACTAGTTGTTTTACAAACCAACGGATATGATCCACAAAAATGGATCACATGATAGACTACATAGACTGCCGCTTCCTTGTCTCTCAATGTAATAATAATTAAAAAAATTATCGATGACATTTTGGTCATCCTGTTTTAGTTTTTTTTCAATTGAATCGTAACACTATAAACACATGCACGTTGCCGTGATGATTAATGTCAAACGTGTAAGGTTTAAACAAAATTAAAAAACCACATGTAGTAATTACTAAAACTTTACTAACTTAATCCCCAGGAGCAATGCTTAGGTATTTTAAGGGATACGATCTGTCAATAAGAAAAGAAATATAACAACAAAAAAGGAAGAAAACCACAACAACAAAAATACATAATTAATGCCCTCACACAATATGAGTAAATTCTACAATCCCTGTTTTCACTGGCTGCCTGCCGTAGCAACAAGCAGAATTGACAAAAGACTTAACTCCGTTTCGTTGACAATCAGCCATGCATGAAGTCTTTCGTCTACGGTTGATTGTCAATGAAACGGATTTGAGTCTTTTGTTAATTCCGTTTGTTGCTACGGCAGGCAGCCAGTGAAAACGAATTCGTTTGATAAAATTATGGAAATGCAAGTACTACCTTAAACAAACAGAACTTTGTTATTCCTAGCTCATTTTCCTGATTGAGGTGTCATATGAAAGGGCAGAAACTCAACTTTCTATGAACGTGATTTTCTCTTTGAAATTCAGATACCGTCCGTCAAATGACTTTTTGGTTTCCTCTCTTCAAATTAATTTTAATCACTCATGCGTGAAATATGCATTATATGAGTTGTATCAAATGAAAGAGGAGGATCTAAGCTTTTCAAATATGTATCATTTATTAATTATAATTGTGCTTAAGTTATGATAAAACATCGATATTTCTCGGTTTCGTTTTTTCTGGGTCGCACCGTATATCAAGTGCCTTGACGGAGATCGATCCACGACCTTCGCATCTCCAGATCTAGACTGGTTTTAACTCCTAATCACTCCACTTCAATATCTCTAATACATGTAAATGCATACCCTTCAATGAACCGTGTAATCTGATACGAAATCGAAATACACCGAGTTCGTGTCATTTCGTAGACAAAACAATCATGGTGCTTCCTTCTATGTTTGCCTGGGGGGAAACGGTTTATGTTGTCTTATGAGGGCTCAACCCACCAATATGTTGAAGGAATGTCTAGACAGAGCCTATAAGTTATATAAAAAGAAGTGTAAGTTCTTTGTCATTTATTTAATGCCGAGCGTGACTTAAGTATTTGAAACAATGATTATGACAATATCAGAAAGATGAAGAATCAGCGATTACTACATGTGCATCTCGTAGGCCTGGGAATTGAAACAAACAAACTAACTAACTAACTAACTAAATAACTAACCGACTAATTAAACTAATAGGTACCAACAAAAATGAAGCATACATGTTACTAAATCAGAAAGATGAAGAATCAGCGATTACTATATGTGCATCTCGTAGTCTTGGAAATTGAAACAAACAAACTAACTAACTAACTAACTAAATAACCGACTAACTAAACTAATAGGTACCAACAAAAATGAAGCATACATGTGACTAAATCAGAAAGATGAAGAATCAGCGATTATTACATGTGGATCTCGTAGGCCTGGAAATTGAAACAAACTAACTAACTAACTAAATAACTAACCAACTAACTAAACTAATAAGTACCCCAAAAAATGGAGCATACATGTGACAATATGAGAAAGATGAAGAATCAGCGAATACTACATGTGCATCTCGCAGGCCTGGAAATTAAAACAATCTTAATTAACTAACTAACAAAATTAAACAACTAACTAAACTAATAGGTACAACAAAAAACAAATGAAGCATACATGTGAAAAAAATCAGAAATATGAAGAATCAGCGAATACTACAAGTGCATTTCGTAGGCCTGGAAACTGAAACAAACTAACTTACTAACTAAATAACTAACTAAACTAACAGGCAAAAAATAAAAAAAATAAAGCATACGTTCACTGCATGTACAATCATACTCAAGGAATCTTCAGTGTGGTCAATAATATCTGGCACATTGCATTACCATTACATGTAACTGTATAAAAATATGCAACCGGTAAGAGTCAACTTTTCCATAAGTCTTTGTATATCAATTTAACTTGTAATTTTTGCGATCACCGTACCATGTACTTCATTAATTACGACGTCTCGAAACTTGCTAATCCTATAACAACTGTCAATAATTCTTACTAATAAATGAGTCCAATAGCCTACCTTGAATCGTTTCCAGATGGACGTTTAGCAGTTCCGATACTCTCTCTCTCTCTCCTGATCAAATCAAGTCTGCCAGAATAATAACTTGTTGATATCATTTTATCTGCCAAGTTCAGGAAGCTTACACATCCATCGAAACAATAGGCATTAATCAATTTCCCTTTCGATGGCTCTGGTGTTTTCATTGGCTCCAGATTTATTCTGTTTTTTTTTTGTTGTACAATTATTGATGAAAATTGACTTTCCTTGTGGTTATGCCCACGTGTTTTTTTTTGTTTTTTTTTGGGGTTAAATTTGGAGGATATTTGGTATGTTTGTATGACAGGTGAATATGGGTTTAGTTTTGATCTGACTGTCTCGGCTTCGAAAGAGATGGTGAAAAAAAAATTCAACCAGGATAAAATATCATCCGATATAAGGTTTCAGTATTCATCATTTAAAGTATAGGCCCACTTATTTATTTTTTAATATTTCATTTCTTTATCATTAGGTTGTTAGCCTTTAATTTAAAGAAATATAGGGTAATCCATCCTAGATCTTCTGGATCAATGAAATTAAGCTTTTCATATATTCCTTGTTTTTGAGTATTCTGGGTGACTTTCTGTAGTGGAAAATAATCAAAATCTGTCACAGTTGACAATTTTTACACAGCTGATTTATTTTTTGTATATTTTTTTGCTCCTTGTTTATCATTTTGTCTTTTGAACTGTGTGTGTATGTGTTTCGTTTTCTTTTTCATTATTTTGTTTAATTGAAGGTGATGTAGTTGTGGGAATAGTGATGATGATTTGTTTTTCGTTTGTGTGTGTTTCGTTTTCTTTTTCATTTTCTTTCTTTATTTGACTGAAGGTGATATGATTCGGAAGCATGGTGATGATGATTTGTTGTTTTACCTGACTGCTGTGCTACACGCTTATAAATGGGGATCCATCGGTTTTAAGTCGTCTCCCACGGACTTGGTATTAGTAGTAATGCCTTATACCGAAGGGTACTAGCGCATCGACTTGGTTTCGAACTCGGGACCTGGTGGTAACCAGACAATTGCTCTATCAATGAACCATCGCGGCTCCATGAGAGAGGAAGAGACCTTGAGAAAATAATTAAATAATTTCCCACATTGTTTCAATCAAAGTTATTAATGAATCATATTCCTGAAACACCTCATCAAGCTTGGACAATTCAGTACCTGGTTAAAGATATTTCGTTGATAGTGTCGTAACGTGTGGTCAGAAAGGGGGAGCACTTTCAATGAGGGGCACTTGTCTTACTGAGTAACATGAACTGCGATTTATCAAGCAATCGATGACTAGGGAGTAAAATGAAAATACGTTTTTGAAAGTAAATTAGGGAGAGGGTCTGAGAGGAGTTGCTCCCTTCCTTCTTTCCCTTAATGTTGATCTGTTTGAAATTTTGTTTATATTTATTTGTTCCATGTTCGGTTGGAGGGGGACCCTCTCCCCCTGCCCTCTTTAGCTACTCCACTTGCAGGTGACAATGCTGACAGTAATATTGAACTTTACATATGGCGACATATTGGGCGCAGACTCTTCTAGTAAGGTCATATTCAAACATCGGTCGAAATAAGTACTTTGAACTATAATTTTAGGATGAAAAAAAAAAGTTGAAGGTCGGACACCGGGAATAACTGATAGATGGATGGTATGCGATCACAATACGGACAGAATCAATTTGTCGAGGTCTGTGGTGGGCGTGGTATTGGTCCAGTCTTACTGGTTCGTAGGTGACTTGGGTATTAAAGGTATTACAAAGTTTTGGTAAATTTTGAAAAATTTGTGGATAGTAATTCTTTACAATTTTTTGCTACATTTTGATGCCCCTGTGGATGTATTAAAAACATTAAAATCTTTAGCCCCTAAAACACTTCTGATTTCGAGAAAAATTAAATATACAGATTTACTGGTGCTCCCGGTAAATTTTGATAAATTTCAAATAGCTCCTACGGCCGTACAATGGTAGCTGCGAACATGAAAATCGCAGAATATGTAGTTGTTGTATATAATCTCCGAACGGGAATAGCTAATTGGTCGATTTTAGTCAAGAAACATTGTGTTATAGCTTAATTAATATCTTGACCTTGAGAGGGAGCTATACAACATAAAGTGTTTATTATTTACCGTTTCATAACTTTAGAGTCGATTTCGACAGCGACAACGGTCAGTGAATATTGTCGCATTTGCTTCCAATATGTTCATTTGAACCAAATTCACGACCCCATACCAAAACTTTGTATTACCTTTAAGCAGTTGGCAACCCTATATTGTTGCACCTTTTAGAGCAGAGTTCGAAATTTGCAGTGTTGATATCGTATTGTTTGGGGTTTAATGTCTTAGACACTTCGAGAATGATACCAAATTAGCAAGAGAGGGAGGTACAGAGCGGTTTGGGAGGGGGAGGGGAGAGAGGGGATGGGCTTAGCTAATATAACACGATATAGCAACTTTTTTTTTTAATTGATTAAGAACACTTTTATTTCCCTATTGTATATCCTATAGAAATCATTTTCGGATTACGTAATACGTCAATGTAATGTTCTCACAAGGCTATTGAAATTGGGTAAGGTTGATTTTTCGAAATAAATTGCTATCTTGTTATATGAATTTTCGTTAAAATTACGGATACGTAATGAGTTCAATCAGCTCGATCTATGTACACATTTTAATAATCGCTTTCAATGTATCAGTCAGTACGTAGGTGTATATGTTATGACAGAAAAGTTTACACTGACACATACATTGCATGACGTGTAGTGCTAGTTTTGAAATGACTACACACTTATTACAAAAGGCATGGTTTGTGGTAGCACAGAGAGAGAGAGAGAGAGACCGACAGACAGAGTGACATACAGAGACAGGGGCGCCGGAAGTAGCCGAGGGGCAGAGGGTGGACGCCTCCCCCCCTAAACGAAAATAGTGGGGGGGGGGGGGCGCATTCTCCCAAAATAGCCCCCCCCCCCCCGAGAAAAAAATCAACACCAAAGGAGTAAAAATGGTTTGTATTTTTTTACAAAAAAGAGAATAAAAAATAATAAAACCTGACTGAATCACAACAAAAATCATATTCCATTCAAAGAAAAGATTATTATACATTCCGTATGCTCCTATATTTATCAAGGGAGGATTTGATAATAGGGATACGCGCATATCGTGAAAATAAGTGAGAGGATGGGAAAACGTTTGTGTTTTTTTTTATCATAGGGGTGGGAAGACATGAGCCCATAACGCTGGCGTACTGAATTTTGTCCCCCCCCCCCCCCGAAAAAAAAATACTCAAACGTTTTTTATTTTCTTCTCCTTCTTGTGATTCGATATATCCAGTGATAGACAAATGATGCTGAAATTACATGATTTTCCGGGATTTTTTTCTCATTTTGTTTGTAAATTATTCTTTTTTTATGCGTTTGTTGGAAAATAACAAATTTACAGTCAGACCAAAAAATATGCTTATTTAGAAGCCTTCATGTCAGCGCCTGCAGAACGATGGGGCTTGGGGGGGGGGGGGGTGTCGAGCCACCCCCTCCCCCCCAAAAAAAAAACTATTTGAAAGAGAAAAAGAAAAAAGAGAAAAACAAAGAAAGAATAGTGACCTGCCAGTGTCACAATACGGGGGCTCTGCCCCCTGGACCTCACCAAGGGCCCTAAGGCGGGCACTTGGATGCTCATCTGACCGTAATTAAATGCCTAAAACCCCTGAGCTTCATGTGTCTCAGCCCCTGAACCCCAAGCCAATTTGCGCTACGCTCTACCTGATCGTTAATGCATGTTACATATAAGAGTGGTGGCGATGCAGATTTTTCTTCTGCCCTCCAAATGATTTTGTTCATTACACCACTGCCCCTAAAGGTGAGCCCCTAGAATGTTTGACCCCCCCCCCCCCCCCCATCCCAAACTGCTTCCCGCGCGCCTGGACAGAGACGATAGAAGGGAAGGATAGAGAAAGAGAGAGAGAGAGAGAGAGAGAGAGAGAGAGAGAGGGGACAGAGACCCCAAAATATAGGCCTTCAAACACCAACAATATTGTTAGAGGAAGAGTGTGAGGGAGAGATAGAGAAAAAGAAAATGCATGGTTCACGCACATAATGGTCTCGACATTCTGAGATCATTAATTGACATTTCTAAATTTTACTTCAAGCAGTCATGTTGAATGCCAATTTCATCTGTGCCGCCAACCTTATCTGCAGTCAAATTATGTTTGCAGTAAACATGAGAACGCTAAATCAAACTCGCTCTGCAAAGATTGCGCTCCCTCGAATATTTGTATAATAATTCATTCCCTTTGTGCTCTTAATTTTTTATGTGAAATTCAAGTAGTTGATTGACCTTTATCTACTGACACACCTAGATTGAATCGACACGAATCACATCAACAAACAAAACATTTACAATTGCTATAGTTGTCTCATCTTCTGACATCCGGGAGATTTAGCTGAGAGATTTAAAAGTAATCATTCCATTTCTGTTTGGATTTCCTCATCGGTTGTTAGGGGGCTTGAGCTCGGGGGTTATGACAAGACGATTGCACTCCGAAATGGATTTAGCATTAGTCATGGTACTCGAGCGAAGGGCCAAAGTCAAATATCATGATTAGTTTTTGTTAGTGTGTTGCCACCAATTCACAAAATAGGTACACCTTATTTGATCAATAGACTCCATCGCATTACGCAATATTTTAGAGGTATGCCCTTGAATGTTTATAGCGATCATCCCTAAATCGGAGGGGGTGTCCAAAAGAGTGGTCCTTTCAACCAAAAAAATAGTACTTTGTAGACAATATTCCTGGGGATTTTTTTCAAACAAATTGAAGAAATATTATTTTCTATAAATCAAAAGCAGAGAGGTCATTTAATTTAGATGTCTATAGTTATATGAATAGATATTTAAGCGTATACGGAAAATAGATACTATCTATTATTTAAAATATTTAAAACTCAAACAGCAAAATAGCATTTTATAAAAACTAATATTTATACTACCCTTGATCTAAAAAAAAAGAGAAAGATATATTTTTACGTTTATATAGGTAGCTGATTCCAAGATGTATTGCCTCTATAACATAAACTCCTTTTCTTGAAATTCATATGTGGATCTGATCT